AGTAGCGATTTGCTTATGCAACAATCTGCTCCGTTCTATTGAATAAATGGCCTGGATTTCTAGGATGAGCATGTACGCTTGTGCGATAAAAAGCGGCAGAAATTGAGTGTTGCACGCTGGATCGGTAGCCGAAGGCTCAAAACGGTAGATCTACCGTAAAAACGATATATTAACGTATGTCCTAAAAGTTTTGCCACAAAATTCATTGGCTTTTTTTAACAAACACAAAATAATATCAAGTTGCCTTTGGAAACAAAAGTTTGTTTACTTACTTTACTGTCAGTTGACATTTATTTATTTTGAGGTTTTCGCTTTAAGATGTAGTATAAATTAGACAGAATAAAAAGAAGAAAAAATGGTTGGGCGGGTACCCAAAGCTGAAATTTGTCGAATATACCAGAATGAAAACATTTCGCGCAGAACCATTTATGACTGAATCTCCCAAAAAGTTGAAGACCACGTTCATTGACTGCTCAGAGGTCAGAGAGATTGGTGAGAAGAGCAATAAATCAGGTTGGAATGTCAACAAGGAGACTGGCTCGTCAATACAGATCTTCTAAGAGTACGTTATCGTTGGATTTGGGAAGGAATGGTCTTAAATATCAAAAGAGACTTAAGTGAGGCGGGTATACTCTGCCAATGGAAAAATAATTATTATTCCACTTTGAGTAATTCTGAAATGAAGGGAATAGACTAATTTTATACGGACAACGTAGAGGAATGGATTGACAGTGTTAGATACAAACATAAAACGAAACTTGCAGATAAAATCCTTGTCTGGTGCGCAATTTCTAACAGGGGTGAGGGGTAACGCTTTGAACAGTCAGAGTTATATTGATGCCTTTGCGAACTGCTTCAGTATGGTCACGAACATCATGCTAATGACCATATCATGGATTGGCCAGACCTAGCATCATGCCATTGCTCAAAAGATAAAAAAAACTGGCTTCAACAACACAACATACCTTTTGTTCCCAAAAACGATGATCCTTTAAACTTGTCGCAGGCTCGCCCAATAGAGGATTTTTGGGATTTACAGTCTAGGAAGGTTTATCATGGAGGCTGGGAAGCCCAAGAGGGAGAACAATTAAGACAGCGAATTTACGAAAAACTGAGAGAAATTGGTGTGCCGAAAATGGCGGATTTGTTTTTTGCCAGTAAATCCAAAACGGTTAATTTGACAGCTGTCAAAGTGTGACACTATTTGGACATTGTTTTTTATTTTATATTGAATTACCAATGACCCCACACCAAACGTTAGTTCCCAATCTGGTGTGTAGGCGTCTCTTTGACACTTCGTGAGTGTTTTCCACAGCTCAATGATGAGTGTTGTGCTTATTAAAAACCACAAAACATGATTAACAAAATCGGGATTTTCAATAGACGTTCTAGTATACCACTCACATATGCGCATTCGCCTTGGAAAAACAGTTTCCTTAAGTCCTTGTAACGGGTGATTTTTTAAGAGGTATAGGATTTGATTTTAAAAAAAACACAAAAAATTTGAAAAAAACGATTAAATCTTTATTTGAGTCGATAGAACGGTCGATATAATTTAATGTTTAAAGATTATTTCATGTAAATGTTGGCCGCGCGGCTCCGCTTTAGATGGCCCATGCGCAAGGCCCAATTTTGGCACACTCTCACACTCTCTCCAACATATCGGCCGGTATCTCACGAATAAATGCTTCAATATTGGCTTCCAGTGCGTCAATCGTTGCTGGTTTATCCCTGTAGACATTAGCCTTAACATGGCCCCACAAGAAATAGTCCAACGGCCATCACACGATCTAGGCGGTCAATTGACGGGCCCCAAACGTGAGATAAACTGTTCACCGAACTCGCCTCTCAATAGGGCCATTGTTTCGTGTACGGTGTGGCATGTGGCACCATCTTGTTGAAACCACATGTCAGTCAAGTCCAGCTCTTCCATTTTGGGCAAAAAAAAGGTTGTTATCATCGCACGCTGGCGCTCGCCATTCACAGTTACGTTCCGGCCATTGTCGTCTTTGAAGAAGTAGGGCCCGATGATGCCACCGGCCCATAATACACACCAAACAGTGATTTTTTCGGGATGCATTGGTAGCTCTTGCAATGCTTCTGTCTGGTCTTCACTCCAGATGCGGCAATTTTGCTTGTTAACGTACCCATTCAACCAGAAATGAGCTTCGTCGCTGAACACAATTTTTCGATAAAAATGTGGATCTTCTTCCAACTTTGTCAGCGCCCATTCACCAAATGGGAAACGTTGTGGGAGGTCGTGTGGCTTCAATTCTTGCACCAGCTGTATCTTATAAGGTTTTACACTCAAATCCTGTCGCAAAATTTTCCTCGTAGTGGAGTAACAGAGGCCCAATTGCTGCGAACGGCGGCGAATCGACATTTCACGGTCATCACTAACACTGGCGGATACAGCCGCAATATTTTCTTCAGTCCTCACTCTACGTCTGCGTGTTGGTGGTTTAATGTCTAATAATGTAAACTGGGTTCGAAATTGAGTCACAAGCTTCCGAATAGCTCCCTCAGTAGGCCGACCAAATTGCTCATAAATTGGAAGCAGTGCTCGATGCACTCTCTTAACCGAGCATGAATTTTGATGGTAAAATTCAATAATTTGCAAGCGATGTTCGTTCGTAAGTCGATTCATGGTTAAATTATAGACCAAACTGAACAAGTTTGACAATGTCACAAGACACGATTCACGCGTCATCTGTCAAAAACAGTGTTGCCTAAAAGATACTAGCAAAAAAATCACCCATTACTATTGTAGGTTTGTACGGATGGTACTTATTGTTATTTAACACTCTCTGTACTATCGATTTTGACACACCAATTTCTCGTTGTATACTTCTTACTGATGCACTAGGGATTTCGTTGACAGCTTGTAAAATGTCTCGGTTGGGATTTTCACTTTCAATATTGTATCCGCTTCTAGGTTGTTCGAAGGCCCCATGGTTCATTAAATTAACTTCTATTTTTCTAATTTGGATTTCATGAGGCTGTCGTCGTTCCGGGTACATCTCCAAGTACTTTGCTGAGGTAATGTCGGCGTTTCGATGTGAATGCAAGAACAGTGCTAACATGTCAAACTTTTCTTCATTTGAGTAGGGAATACCGGCCATTTTCAACAGCTTTTGACAATTTTTTTGTCGGATGTGTGATTTCAATGAGAGAAAACGTACCTACTACTTATTAAAACACAATTTTAATACTTTGAATTATTTAACGTCAAAGCCAGAGATGAAAAAAATGCCTTACTTATTAATTTTATTTTCTGACAAATAAATCATGGCTTCCTTAGAAAAAAATCAATAATAACATTAAGAGTGACGATATTTCGATGATACTCGTATCTTTTATGCACTTCTGAGATATCACTAGGATGGACATTTTACACTCTTTTCTAAAACCGAAAAATCCAATATGGCGTCTATAAAAAAAACGAAAGTTGAGGCAGGTTGCGGGAAAACAAAAGACGATTGAGACATGTCATACACGCTTATTTGCCTTAAAAAATGTCCCAATAATATCACACTTTGACAGCTGTCAAATTAACCGTTTCGGATTTACTGAAAAAAAAAACAAAATTCGTCATTTTCGGTTTTTCGCTGATATTTTCAAAACCAATTGACCGATCGTCAATCTGACGCCGGCTATCGAAAGCACTAAGTTTCCTCATTTAACCTTTGGTGTGGGTACCAACACTAATCAGTGCGCCATATAAGTGACGCGGTGACGACGCTTATTGACGCATTCATTCTAACACGGTTCTCTCTCTCTCTCTCTCTCTCTCTCGTACACATGGGCATCTAGGAGGGAAAGCGACTCTGTTCAGCACTGTATGAACGTTGTACCAGTAATTATATGGTTGATCGTTAATGGAACAATAAATTATACACTTTATAGTGTGAATAGAAGTTTCTTAGAACTATATCTAAACTAATATTGAAATAACAGGAAAATTTACTGATACTTCACAGGAAAAGAAACAATAATTGTATAGTAGTTGCGATAGCTTTGATAAATGAAACAAATGAGGTATAATTATATATTAATTTACATATTTGACACTTCAGTGTGTTGTGTCTGAAACCATTTTTATCAACCTATTTTCGTTCATTATTTTGTTAACTTATGTTGAAATGTAGTCGATTGAACTATTCAAAAACGAAATGAGAGATTTAGAAAAGTTGGTGGTAATGAGGATTTTATTGAATTAATTAAATTTTTGTTCTAGTCGGCTTCCACATGAAGCATGGAGACATCTTCGTCAGGCCCCTTTTCCGATGGGCTCATACAGCAAAAGCGAAAGCTTAGTTTTCCTACGGCTACATTGTCTGTGCCGACTGAAAACACGGCTTTTAGAAGACGATTGAGCAATGTCGGAGATGCAGCTCGTAAGCTTTCTACCTCTATTGGGTAAGCTTTTTTCGATTATTCATTCTGAATAATATTGAATTTTTTTTTGTATCTTCTATTTTCGTAACTCAGTGCCCAATGGAGTTTGGTTGTTGCCAATAAATTCTAGATTTCTGCTCAGAAGTTTTAACTGCAAAGATACTCTCAATACTTTTTACTTCCCAAGCCTACTGGCGAGGAAGTATTGTACTTATACGCCTCCAACAACTAATTAATCCTTCGTACATATTAGGCATACTATTTCCTCAATGAATATCTTAACGATAATAATATACTTGCATGCTCGTAAATGCACAATGACGTTAGCCATCTGCTTCAATTCATTTTATTCCATTTTATTTAGTTTTCATCTATTTTAATTTTGTTATCCAGACAGTTATTTATATTCTATTCTTCTTTTTCAAAATTCAACCGCTAACATTTTAATTCGTTGTATTTTTGTTATTTTTAACATTCATGTTTTTTACGTGTTTTCTTTTTATAAACATGGAGGCCAATATCGTGCACGTGCAGGGGGAGAGAAAGTCCATTTAATTTTTGAATATACATGTGCGAGGCTAACTTTTACTCTCAGAAGAACAGATGCCAGCATACCGTGGGCAGTACAGAGTCAACTTGCTTGACGCTATTTTTTAATTTGGTTCCTCATTTGAGCTTTGGATGAAAATTAATTTATTTCTTCTTCAGTTTCTTAAGCACAAAAAAATCCTACGGCCATTTTCATGAGTATTTGATGAAAGAAATTGAGTTTCTCGATATTTTTTCTAGATGGAAAACTGTCGTAGTGAATGGTCCACCTCCAGAAGAAGTGACAATAATTGGAAGGTCACTATGTTCCTTGTACATAAGAACGAAGTTAAAAAGAGCAGGGGTATTCAACAGAAAATTAGGTCTTACGAGAGTTAGAAGCACTATTGGGACTATGGATGGTTGTGGGATAGTCATCAAAGAAGTTTTTCCAGGTTAGTATAAGCGTTTTGAAAAGGTACATTTAGAACAACTAAACGAAACACTGTGCATGAGAAGTAGGGAGGCGAGTCACTGCTGACGTGACGGATGGGGAAGGACTTGTAAAATGTATTCATGCAGCGATATTTAGGTCAATGGAGGGCATTTATACTAAACATGTGCTTAACATAGACTTTAGAGTATTTGAGAATATCCTAGTTTGTTTAAAGTGCTGTTGAATTTATTTATATACAGGGTGTTCATTTAAAAACATCCCATCGCGGATTTATCGAAAATAGCTGATTAAAAGAAAAAACGTCGAGACACGTCAAAAGATTTGTCAAGGAGGACAAATGTTTAACCAAAAACTACTTCAGCCCCTTTCACCTTCGCCCCCCCCCCAGGGTCATTCCCTTAAAAATGTTAAATGACAAGGGGTATCATATTGTTTGAAAGGTGTTTCGAGGTCCCTTATTTTGGCGTTTGATTTTTCAAAATTAGTCGATTCCTTTTCGAGAGAATTAAAAAAATCTTTACTTATCTTAATTTGTTCAGATAGAAAACAAAAACACACGAAAATACCACTTTTTATTTCAATAAGTGTTTATAATGTTGCCCGTTAGGGTTTGACAAATCTACAATTCGTTTATAATTCAAAACGGAAACTACCAACATAAACAGCAATTCGGAAGATTAGACGTATCAACAACCCAATAACAACCCGAATTTTGTCCCCATACTTTTCATCAACACAGATATCCTGGCGAACTGCATTTATTGTTATACCTGTTTAGTTATTTGTTGCTAAGGGAAAGAAAGGATTTAATTTGCTGTCCTTTGTAACAATCTTGGGATAATGAAATTAATTTATTGATTCAGATTTAGCTTCCAAAATGGTTTCCACACTAGCAGAAAGAGTGGAAATGGCTTTAATTTATGGTGCCCAAAATCAATGTGATCGGCAAACTGCCGTCACGTTTAACGCCAGACATCCGAGGACGATAACTCCGCATAAGGTATGTTTTGAACCTTATTACTAAATTTACTCAAACTGGATCTATTGCAAATAAAAAACGTGATCATCGGAGAGTTATGGATGAAGCCGCTCAAGTTGAAATTTTAGGTCATTTTGGAATAAATCCTAATACTTCATTACGCAAAATTGTTGCTGCGACTGGTGTTTCATTAGGCTTTGTACACACAGTTACTTAACTCCATAATATTCATCCATTCAAAATGAAAATATTGCAAGAGTTAAACGAAGATGATTTCGATAGGCGAGCTCAGTTTTATGAACAAATGACTGCAGCTATTAATTATAATACCATTCATGTAAAGAATATCTGATTCAGTGATGAATGCACATTTTATCTAAATGGATTTGTTAATAAGCATAACTGCAGGTATTGGAGCAATGAAAATCCTCATGCTTTTGTAGAAGGGCAGACTCAGTACCCCCCAAAAATTAATGTATGGCCAGGCAGTTTAGAAAATAAAGTGATTGGGCCATTTTTTATTAATGGAAATTTGAATGGGGGCAATTATTTTGTTGAAAAATACCATAAATCTGCTTATAATTGAAACCATTGAAAACCAAATCGCAGAGGATAGAAACCCTATACTTGATAAGGCTGAATGAAATATATTTCCAGCAAGACGCTCCTCCTCACTATGTTGTTCCGGTTCGGCAATGGCTAGACGACGAGTATCCAGATAAATGGATAGGGCGAAGAGGGCTTATAGAATGGCCTGCTAGGACTTTTGATTTGACTCCATTACACTTTTTTCTATGGGGCCACTTTAAATCTATTGTGTTTACTCCCCAACCTGAGAGTTTGGATGAACTTTGCCAACGCATCATCCAAAGCTGCCATGATATCCCACAACATGCTTTTTAAAATTGTATGTCAGGAATATGTACATCCCCTATATCATTGTTTGGACAATAACTGGCAACATTTTGATCACTTATTGAAATAAAAAGCGATATTTTCGTGTGTTTTTGATTTCTATCTGAACAAATTAAGATAAATGAAGATTTTTTAATTCTCTTAAAAACGAATCGACCGATTTTTAAAACGCAAACTTCAAAATAAAGAACTTCGAAAGACCTTTCAAACAAGCTATTTCTTAATACCCCTTGTCATTTGAAATGTTTAAGGGGATGACCCTGGTGGGCAGAGGGTGAAAGGGGGAGAAGTAGTTTTTGGTTAAACATTTGTCCTCCTTGACAAATCTTTTGATGTGTCTCGGCGTTTTTTCTTTTAATCAGTGGTTTTTGATAAATCCGTGGTTTTGGTTTATTTAAACTAGGTTCATAGATCTAAGTAAACTGTTTTAGAAATCGGAGCTTAATTAAACTAATTAAACTTGTTAGCTGTTACGTAGTTGATTAAAGTTTCCAATTGACCTAATTAAAACTTTAACTGATTCAATAAAAAAATTTTCTCATAATTCTTTCAGAAAATTTGTATTTTTGGTTCCAGGTCTAATGTGTGCCTGTTCAGAACTAGAACGAATCTATCCGAATCTGTACTGCAACATTCCTAGACTGGTGGGAAGAAAACCATCAGAAAGTATCGGAGGAATTCTTCCGGCTGTTGGAGATTATTTATTTAGAGAGGAACCATCCTGGGGAAAAGTAGCTTCAGTCTACTGTGTCGCTGGAGGACTAGCTGTCGATGTCGTCAGATTGGGGAGGCCTGATTGGCTACCCGTAAGTTGAGTCAAATAAGTACATTTTCATGTGTTCCTCTGAGTTATCTTCCATGACGCCGTTTCGTTCTGGACCTACTAAATGAACTCGCCAGGCTCCTGCTTCTCATTTTAACAGTTGCGTTCTATACCGGGTGTTTTGAATTCGAATCTCGCCATCGAGATGTTAAATGGGAACAATGTTGCGCATCGAGGTAACTTAGAAACTGAAACCTAGCAAGTTCTGCAATTCCGAGTATTTCCAAATTTTCCCAAAATCGCTTTTATTTTTTCTGACTTTATTTGGCATGCGATTTCAAAATAAAAAGTGCATCAACAGTGCCACCTTTTCGCCTCAACGAAATGGCTTGATTAGAACTTCAAAATGACGTTTCGTCCCTTGTGCTCAAACATCAGCTTTATTTTTTGTTATTATTATTGAATTCTTGCACAGAAAGATAGAGTCTTTAATTGTGATTTCAAAAAGGGATATATCATGCATTAGCTTTGTCAAAAATTATCTGTAAAAAAAACTAATATTCTCAGTTGGCTTTGAAAATGACAGTTCATCATATGTTTATTGCTTATTTATCGACTATAAAAAGCGTTATTTTAATAAGACGGAGGTGTTCTTCATGGTACCTCTGCCGTAGATTAATAGTGTCTGAATGCAAGATGTGTGCATCGGTTTAGATATGGCGGCAGCTACATCGTGGAAGCTTTTATTTACTCTAATCTTACTAAATGTTTCCATCAATTACATAAAATAATGTTTTCAATATTTTCAATATGACATTTAAATAATATAAAAAAGTAGAAAATAAATCTTAATTACAAAGAGTTTATATTATAGTAGTAGATGGTCGAACAATCAATCATAATTAATGACCTCAAAATAAAATTATAATAAAATTTAAGTTATTCACAGAATAATTCAATTCAGAGTAAAAAGCGTTGGCTGCTTGATATATTAAATGTTACAATCAGTCTATAGGCAACTATCTATGAGAGAAGAGTTAGGATGATATAGTAAAATGCACCCTACGCTCTTTACTCTGAATTGAATTATTCTGTTAATAACTTAAATTTTATTATAGTTTTATTTTGAGGTCATTAATTATGATTGATTGTTCGACCATCTACTACTGTAGTCTGAACTCTTTATAATTAAACATTATTTTCTACTTTTTAGTTCGGTTAGCTATAAAAGCGTCTTTTTTTAGTTTTTTAAACTATTATTTACTTTACTTTTCATTTTTTAGTTCGATTTATCAATTAGTTTTTTGTGGACATGTGGTATTGAAATGTCTTACGAATCATTTCGTAATATAATCATTTCATTTAAAACTTCACTGTTAACTTAGAGCAATCAAATTCTTCAATACGAATACCGTCTAAAGATCTTACACGACTTAGTGCTACATAAGCTTGCCCTGCAGCAACCAGTCGCGAGCCAGATAAATGACTACATGATCGACTGTACAACCTTGCATCTTGTCGACAGTCGAAGCCCAACTCAGGATTACTGGTAACATTCGCAATGAACAAGGTTAGAATGCACTACCTTGAAAAAGTATCTGCCTCCGCTGTGCTGTGCCGAGTGCCCAAAACAACAAAGAGTTACACGTATGCGCAGATCGCGCGGTAGCTCTATCTCTTTCACTCCTCTACTTGAATCTATAAAAGAATTTATCAATTCTGGCGGTTCTAATAAGGATAATGGAAAACTGTTATCAAATTATTGCATTGTCAGCGCTCCTTGATACGTGTGCGAAATTTCAAATTTATCAAACTTCTGGAAAGTTTTTACATAGGTTGTTCTTTATTTGATGAGTTAATCAATCCATGTCATGATATGTTGTACAATATCATATCATTAAAATCGGGAATCGTGACTATTTACCTATGCCTAGCTCAAAACATGGCTGATGATTTTATGAAACAAAAGGCCCGCTTAGAACACTCTGTTTTTTTAAATAACTAAAGTTTGGCAATGCCATTGACAAATAACATTTTTGATTGATGACAAGATGATTGAGGACTGAACGTCATATTGAAATTATAATTATCTCATCGCGGAGAACAAGTATCAATGTTACTGTTTTTATTTGTATTTTGAAGTCCCATCTCAAATAAAGTCAGGAAAAAATTGAAACTTTCCGAGAAAACTCTTTTTTTTCCTCTATCTCTGGAAACGCATCTCTTACCGTTTCCGAGATCGTAGCGATCAGAGTCGAATTTGAAACACCCGGTATAGCGGGAACTGGTCGCTATTCAAACAATCTACCAGAAGAAGCTTTCCCCTGTTATACTGATTTTGTCAGTTCAAACGAAGCATTCATATTTAAAGACTCCAATTAGTTAACATATATTCAGTGGCGTAGCAAGGGGGGACGGCGGGGGCGCACCGGGTGTCACCTTTTTTGGAGTGACACCCACCCGGTGGCTCAACTTTAACAATGTACAAACATAAAAAAAGCGCTAGCACAGCTGTCTTCTTCGGTGATTCCTCCACAAGCACTAGCTCAGCTCTATGTATAATTCGGGTATTCCCAAAAATCAGAAGACTACGATAATCCAACAGAAAGACGACTTCGTTGTAAAAAACGGGTAGCTGGCCAGTGATGCAGGACTCACACTGAAAGACGAACTTCAACAATTTATGTTGGAATGTCTTTACCGATTCAGAGTTGAACTCCATACAAGATCGAAGTCTCTTCAAGACTAGCTTCATTGCCGAGATCGAACAAACAAATACTTTGCTTTTGGCGAATACTGAAGAACTGAAATTAGATACATCCAAATTTACTCATTTTTAACACGCTTTTATAAGCTTGACCAGTATGTATCGGAATCTTTGAACATAATTTTCACCAATTTCCAGAAGTTTGATTACTTTGAAACACGTATCAAGGACCGACGACAATGCAATAATTTGATAATAGTTTTCCATTATCCCTATTAGGACCGCCATAATTGATAAATTCTTTTATAAATCCTCTGTAGGAGAGTAAGAGAGATAGAGCTAGCGCGCGATATGCGCATGCGTGCAGTTTCGCAATTACTCTTTGTTGACTCTGGTACTCGACACAGCACAACGGAGGCAGATACTTTTTCAAGTTAGTGTATTCTCATCGTGTTCATTTCTTATACATGTGTAGGTGTAATGAGTCTAATACACGCGAATTACTACACGAACGACATCCCGTCAGTTCGTATCGATTTCGGTTCAGATGGTGTGCACACTATTAAACCAATATCGATACAGGTTTGTCCCATTTTTTTTTTGATGTTTATCCCACCTTTCGTTAGGCTTGTCCCACTTTTTTCGTCAGGTCAAAGCTAGAAAGAAGAGATTTTAATTGCAAGATAAAAATATTTTTCTGATCCATGACCTTTATATATCATATAAAATGTATTGCTTTTGACTTTCGACGGGGTGACACCACGAACCGGGTGCCACGCAAGGTAGCTACGCCACTGCATATATTCTTAAATAATTATACATATCGTACACAAAATCATATATTTACGTTCATACTGGATTCCAACTTTAACAAAAAAAAGCCTTATGATACCCAAATAATTATCAAATTAAATTTACTTTTTGTGTTAATGAGGTGCAGATTGCCGTTTAACCGCATACTGATTAGCATTTTAAATAACTATATAATTATAATTATTACTTATTTCTTTATTTTATCGCAGATCATAATGGATGATATGAAGGAATTTTTAGAAGACAGAATGTCTCATTGGGTCCACGCGAATGGAGGTTGGGTAGGTACATTTTATTAGGAGTATTAGACTGAGTTGGTAAATTTTTTCATATACGAATATTTGAAGTGAAATACCTTTTGGATAGGGATGTAACGAATATTTGGGGATATTCGCATGTTTCTTGATATTCGCATTCGCAACATCCATGCGAATATGAATATCAGAAAAAAGAGGATATGAAAGTATTATTAGATCCTTAAATAAAATAAAGGAATATTAGTACATATATTTTTTAACTAAAAAAATATGCAATAAAAAAACAAATAACTCTATTCTTCAATAAACTTTTTCATTTGTGTTATAAATATACAATGCTTTTCATTAAGGCCCCCTCACTTCAATTTATGAACGGTTCAAGTTAGCAAGCTGGTATTTGGTGTGATAAAATTGAGGCACAAATATTATATTCAAGCGTAAAAGTCACAGACCAAACCAGATAACCAGACTTCCTGTAGCTTATCAAACCGTGGCGTTCGAGATAGTCCAGAAACTCGCGATTTATGCTCGTCTCCATAACCTTACTTATAACAGAAAGCAGAGAGATATGCGCCTGTAGTTGTAAGGTTGTAAGCAAATTTCCAGTTTTCTGGAAAGGTGCCGGATATCTGGAGGCGACACGAAAGAACTGGAGCAAGCTCCGCTGCATACCTCTTCGGTACCATACTAGGAATCAACTCCGGACCAGAAGCTTTGTTGATATCGAGCGACAAGAGCACTCGTCTTATGGTCTTATGCCTGAATGTAACTTCCACTTAGTGTAGGGCACCCTTTGAATCCACGGCACTCGGGCGTCGGGCGTTGGTCCATGGTGGAGTTGGCAGAAAAGATCTTGCCAAGCACTTCCGCCTTAGCTTTGAGTCGGTTACAATTGTTCTATCCTGACGCGTAAATGGTGGAAGGCTACTCTGTGAGAAGTTCTTATCAATCTGCTTGGCCAGCGGCCGAAAAGACTGACTGCCATTGTGCTGCGAGATTACTCTGTGCCTAATTTTTATATCGTGCTGAACTTTGGCATTGCGAACCACTTCGTTATATTTGTTTCTGGACTGGACGTCGGCTTGTCTGTTCTCTACAGTGGGGTTTTTTAAGAAGCTTCTGTGTGTTTTGATCTTTTGCTGGCGAGCTGTGTCACACTATTTGTTAAACCATCCCTTGGACTCTGGTTCAGGCACGTTTACTGTATGATGAATGTATTCCTCCATTCCGACGTGGATAATTTCGGTTATCGAAGAACAGACAGCCGACGCATCCGCGTCAGCGAAACATAAATCTCTCCAAGAAAAGGTGAAGAAGAAGTCTTTGAGCTCCTCCCAGACGGCATGTCCGTAATGCCAAATTTTACGGGCTGGGCAAGTTTCTGCTGCGGCAGCGGGTTCTGACCGAAACCTAACCTCCACAACACCGTTAGCTTTAGTTACCCCAGTGCTGTAATAAGGGACAATATGCGTGATCCGAAAGAAATCCAGCAGGCTACTGGCATGTGACGAGACGCGGGGGGAAAAGTAGGGCTCGTCACCAGCTGGGTCAGCCCTTGAGTAAGAGCGAACGCTTCAACTGCAGGACCTCCTGCATCGGTCTTGTATGAGCCCAACTGAAGCTCATTATGGGCATCGAAGTCACCGAGGAGGTTTACCTCTGAATCGGGGATCTTGACGGCGAGGTATTCAAGTAGGACATCCCAGTTATGGTCCGAGGGAGAGCGATAAAAGCAGCAAATAAATTTAGTGGATGGTAGTTGAGACGAAGCCACAGAATGTCCTTGCGGTCTGATTCCAGAGAGATATCTCTGGAGCAGGAAAGACTGCTGCGGACAAAGGCCAGAACTCCCCCGTTCTTTCTCAGATTCTGTATTCCTTAACACGTGTACAATCACTTGAATGGGAAGAAGTTGTATACTGGATACAACAACTTCCGGAACAAGCATTTGTCACGGCCCCACTCTGTAGGGGTTGACATTACCCTGTGCCTAACTTTTATATCGTGCTGAACTTTGGCATTACGGACCGCTTCGTCATATTTGTTTCTGGACTCGACGTGGGGTTTTGTAAGTAGGTTCTGTGTGTCTTGATCTTCTGTTGGCGAGCAGTGTCACACGATATGTTGAACCAGCCGTTGGACTCTGGTTTAGGCGCCTTCACTGAATGAGGGATGTATACCTCCATCCCAGCGTGGATAATTTCGGTTATTGATGAACAGATAGCCAAAGCATCCGGGTCAGCGAAACAAACATCTCTCCGAGGAAAGGTTGAGAAAAAGTCCCTCCCAGTCGGCATGAGCGTAATGCCAAATTTTGGAGCATACGTTCGGATTGATTAAAATTTGTAGACAATGCAGATGTTTAAAAAGTTTTATTTTGGACTTTATTGTCTATACAATTTTTGAGATTATAACGTTTCGATTGATAAGACCTTCAATCATTTTCAGATGAGCTGGTATACGTGTTTCTTCCACGGCTGTTTATACTGTTATCGCTGTCGTGTCCTATGTGATGACGTGTCCTGGGTGATGTGGCTGGTCGGTTATCTGCCTTAGTTGTTCTAACCGTGTCGTCTTGATGCAGCTGATGATAGGCTCCCTCATTGGTTTGATTTCTACGCTGGCACCACTATACACGTTGCTGTTGGTCGATATGCAAGTTGCCTCCTTTTCGGCGATACCAGTGTGCTTCTTCTTTATTTCGTGGTGTTCTCTCCGTGCATGTTCTGCGTTTCGGGCCGTTGAGCGTGAAGTCGGTGCTCCTTTATCCTCACAGCCAGTGGTCTCTTCGTGTAATTTTAGGGGTAGAGAAATATTGTCGAAATATCAAGAATATGCTTTTCTCACATTTTTGAAATTTCAATAATAACATATTTTGAAAATCCAAGGATGGAACTGGATGAATCAGTTCAGTTAAACTAGATATTTTGCATTTCTGTTTCTGAGCGGTGTTTTAATGATTACATCGTATTTAAAATAATTTGTGCTTAATTCTTTTATTCAATAACGACATTTTTTGTTTCAGCTTGGACTGCTATCGCACTGTAGACAAATTGAACAAGATATCTCCTTCAAAGAATATCTGGCGATATTCGGTTTGGTGGCTGTGATTTTCCTAGTCTCATTTTTTGTGGTTAAGCTATTTGCGAAATTAGGTCTTTTTTAGGCTAGATTTCAGATCAAAGGAATTATTTCCCATTTTTATTGTATTATAAACTACATGGTTACTATTGGCAATCTCAAAGAACTACACTTTTCGCATGTGATGCATTACCTTTTTGTAATCTCAGTATCAAGAATTTAAAATCTAAACTAAGATTTCGAATATATAAATATTTTAAGTATTCTAAGGTGCTTTTGTTACATTTATTTTCTCCGAACTATATACTATAAAATATATTTTTCTTATTTTTATGTACCTATTGACGTATTTTTGTACTTATTATATATTTATAATAAAACCACTTATTCCATATTATTGGTGTCTTATTACGGATGTTTCTATAACCATCTCCCATCCATATGACACTTTTCAATATGTTGGTGACAAGTAGGTTGACTCTGCACCTTCCACGTAACGCTGTCATCAGCTGATTATGACAAGATTATGAGCGAGATAAGTAAGCGCCTCTAAAAAGACCTTACTACGAAGAATTCGATGGATCAAGACAGCCAAACAGGCACAAACAATTAGTCTCCAGTCCCCAGGCCCTGGCCTGACTGCCTTTGAGAACAGGGTCCCGCACAAAACATATGGAAAATGGGTCCCAGGCGATTTGCCTATAAATTGAGTATGATATATTTCTTGCATCCATGAATAAAAATTCTCAAGGGACCAAAACAATCCTGTGATTAGTTTCTGTAAAATAGGGAAGGAACTTTGCTGGGTTTGTAAAAATGATGAATGCGCCGATTATACTTCTCCGTTCTCAAGGAATTGTCATACTGAAGAAATTATTTCATTTAAAAAAAATTAAGGAGAGTGGAATTATCATGTTGATCTTGGACTTGATCCTTACAAGGTCAATTTGAGGGAAAAATTATTTTTATACGTTGACTGATTCGATATCAAATTTATTCAAGTTCAGTGTGCTTCTCAAGGGCACAGAAAAGTCTTGATTGTTTTTTTTTTTAATTATAACCTATTTGTATAGGCCATGCTGATTTTGAAGGCGAGAGGGAAATAAACAACGCACTAATGTGAACACAGACTTAGGATATCGTAATTGATTGACTATTCATTTGAATTGTTTTGGTTTGCTTCCGGCATATCGAACGGTTTCGGTCAACTTTTTCGGAGGACACAAATAGATCAGCAATAATGCCCATTAATTATTACATAATCAATCATCAGGTAGATCCTCGTTCTTTTTATGAACTTGTCGATGAGATCACCATAGTCTTTACTACTCGTATAGAGATGCGAGAGAGTACATTCCTTGTGCAGAGCATTAATTAGCACCTCGCAAATAATTGGATAATTGTATCTATTAATAAGAGCATCAGCTCTTTCATAAAGGTCTTCTAGATTCGGTATATGCTGCATTTGATTAGATTTCTCGAGAAATTGAAAAATCGATGTTATTCACCAATTTTTGCAAATCGATATCCCTCTGTTTCTCAGAAACTTATCATAGATTTCCGTGAGAAAGTTTATTCAGGAAGGCGAGAAATATACTGAATTTTTAGACAAATTGAGTGTGGCCCATTTTTCCATATGTTTTGTGCTACACCTTCGCTGTTCCCCTCCTCGTCAAATTTTTTTGGGGCTGCTCATGATCATAATAAACAAAAAGTTTCTTCCTGCCAACGCTTAATCGGCCGCTTTAGAAAACTTTCTGTGAACGACCATGTTTGATGAGGCCGGGATAGTCAAATCTATGAACTTTCGCGCAGATAATAATAATAATAAATAAATGGGCTTTATTTCGTACCTAAGTAAAAGTACAAAAAAGGCGAAGTGTCGCTAAGATTAGCGTTTTTCAACTTAACCTTATTATTATTAGATGCGTTAGTGTTCAACGCCGCAATACACCACGCTACCTAGACCCAGCCCCCTTCACGACAAGTTTGTCTTTTCTTTTCATTCTTCTGAGTCTAAATGGCAAATATACGGGGAAGCCTATGTGTGAAGTACGTCTAACAGGTGTGTAAAATTACAGGGATTAGAAGCGCATACAGATATACTCAGTGACATTAGAAGTGTTACACCCAGCAAAAATAATGTCTACAACTTGTTTTTTTGGTTACATACTGGCTATATTTAAAGCATGCTATGTCAACAATGTCAACGTTTTATCTTTTTTCTTACCTTTGTTAAAATGTTATCTCTTAGTTTTTGTGGAGAAAGCAGTGTGTGAGAGCTGAGTAGTACAGATATTTTTAGTTATTGAGCTCGAAGACGTCCAAATTATCACCATGTTAGCGACTTTGGCAGGGATAGAATTACTACCTATCGAGATGTTCGTTTGTCTTGCCGCGAAACTGGCCGCCGTTAATTGTACTGCAATGACGGTAATGCGTGTGTATGTCGTGTGTGGTTAGAAGAAGGTAGAGGAATACGAAGAAGGCCAACTGGTCCACCGGGACATATCACAGAGCGTCAAGACAGATAGGCGCTTCAGACAACTAGCCCTACGAGATCGTTTTGATACTACGTGTCAGATCGCTGACCAATGTTTTGGAGAAGAAGGTAAACCTGTTACTAAGTGCCGCCGCATTCGAGCCTATGGAATTTTTTCATATAGTCCATGGTTAGTGCTTCCTCTGACTGCGGACCACTGACGTCAACGTTTGAACTGCAACAGAGAACGTCAACATTGGGAGGCAGAATGCCATAATGTCATCTTCAGCGACGAATCGCGATTCTGGTGCGCACGATGGTCGTAAAAGGATAAGACGGAGGCATGTTACACAGGACTGTTGGAGTAATGGTTTGGGGGGCTATTGCCTAGGGTACCCCTTCTCTTTGTTCAAGTCAATATGACTGCTGTGCATTATATTTATGATGTCCTATAAAGGGCCGTCCACACGCCATTTTTCAACAAAACAACGCACGTCTCCATATTGCTTTTTGTACTACGGACTTTCCTCAGAAACAGGCGTTAATGTTTTGCCGTGGATTTAATTCCCATCGAACATGTGTGCGATATAATGGTGAGGAGACCATGCACTTTGCACCATCCGCCACAGCTAATCCACGAAGTTAGAGTTGCTTGGAATGAGGTGCCACAACCAGACATCGATCATCTCATTTTGTCGATGCCTGGATGTATACAGGAGTGTATTCAGCTGCGAGGTCGCCCAATACATGATTATTTTTTTCTAATTACTTGTCAATACAATTTCTTGAAAATTTTTATTGTTTCATTCTTGATGTAAGACTACCACATTGCCAAAAAATCAAGTTGAAGAAATTATTTTTTCTGGATGTAACACTTCTAATGTCACTGAGTATATAAATGCCAAAAAATTGAGACATCGCCTTCGTTACTGATTCTGAAACAGTTTCCCACATTGTACAATTTCATCCATACACATCGGCGTCAAAATGACTTACTAAAATTCGAATTTTCAAAATTTCGAATAAATAATGCAAATGCAAATAAGATCAAATGGAATAGATACTTGTCCAAGAATGTTCACTTAAGTACGATATAATAATAATAATAAGAATAATAATAATAGACGTCTTTATTTATCCACAATTACACAAATGTCAGACTTATATGGCGAAGTTTAGCATGCTGCTACTCTTACACTTAACCATATAGTCTCTAGCAGATGTTCAAAAGAATACACTATCCACAGATTTGGTTCAGTACATCGAAAGTAAAATTTAAAAAAAGAAAAAAAGGCATTCTTTCCAAACCCAAATGCACCAAAAAATTATTAATCTGAATTAAAGATGGAATAAAAAAGAAATGAATGATTACGTAAATTATATGTTTGGAGGGTTGAGTAATAATGTTTTAACTTTTTGTCGAAAGACAGGTAATGAAAATTCTTTATATACTTTAGGAAGGTCATTATAAATAATAGCAACATTGTAAGAAAAACCGCGTTTAAAAAGTGTAGACGTATGCAGGGGTATTCTAATATTATTTTCTCTGAGAGTTCTACAGTGAACATCATTATTAAATGAAATTTTTTCCTTCAAGTAATAAGGTCTAGACGTGAGCAGCAATTTGTGAACAAAAACTGAATAGTGATACTTGACCATGTCATTAATTTTTAACCAGTTTAGAACGGGATATTTCGCTGATACATGATCAAATTTACGTAAGCCAAAAATGAATCGTATGCAATTGTTTTGAATAACTTAAACAACGTTTTTAGTGAAATTGTCTAAACAAGTATAGTATACGATATTACAATAATTTAGTATAGATATGACCAATGCTCCACATAGTTTTTTACGCAACTGAAATTTAGTAAATACTATAAGAGTGCGCAGCCGTAGGTAGGTTTTCTGAGATAGACTTTTAAAATGTTCAATAAACCTTAATTTTGTATCAAAAACAACACCAAGAATTTTTGCAGAATCAGAAAATTGCAAAATTTGGTTATTTATCTGAATGTTCAAGAGCTGTGTTACATTGTATTTAATTAATTTATTAACATCGTTTTGTAAAATTTGAGTAGTATTATTGACATTATCTGGGTTAAAATAATGGAGCAATTGCGTATCGTCTGCAAGTGACTGGACATGAGAATTATCAATACTTTTGCTTAAGTCGAACGTATATATGAGGAACAGAAGCGGCCCCAATACAGGGCCCTGAGGTACGCCTGAGGGAATTATTGTCACTTGAGACATTTCTTGATTGAGAAAAACACACTGAGTTCTTTGATGAAGGTAACTGTCGAAAAATGAAAGGGATACGCTGTCAAGACCTATGTAATTTAATTTAGCAAGTAATAATTTATGATTGATGCTGTCAAAGGCTTTCGAATAGTCTATAGAGATTAAGGCTAGTGCCATTTTCTTATCTAAGGCACTTAAAATATTGTCTTGCAGATTAAGTAGGGCAGATGTTGTACTATAATTTTTTCTAAAACCGGATTGAGTGTCGGGAAGTATAAAAAATTTTTAATATACATATAGAAAACCGCTACATCTTAATGTATTGTAATGTCCTCGTAACCAATTACGCAACCATGCGTATGCGCTTGCAGGCTTGACCGAGCTTCAAGAGTAATCGAGACCCGGCTGGAAGCACCTGCAGCCATCTAGACAAGTTCCATGGAAGTTCACGACTCAGACTGGAAAACGCTGGAATGGTTCTTGATTCGTCGATAGGGAAATAAATACTCGACCAGATGGCGGAAGGAGTTAGTAACATTCGAGACACAGTCAACCCAGTGGACAGCTAACGCGTAATTAAGATGGGATAGTAGTCCAGTTAACATAGTTATAAATTGGTTGCATGTCTTATAAATTAGTGTAGCAGTAATAAATTGGACTTTAAACTGTAAAACGGTACTTTCGTTACAGTATGAAAAATACATGTATCTTATTTGTGTTTCAATGGCAAACGTATGGAAAATATATGTGACTATTATGTGAAACAGCTGAGAAATCAAAAGCTCCTTTGTTATAGAACGTCTTTGACTGATACCAAAGATGCAAATATTTAAAACCTCAACATCCAATTGTTGAACATTTTTGAAAATGAGTGGGCGTTCTGGAACATCAAATTAAGTGTGAAAGATCTTTATTTTTGATTTTTTGCTCAGAGCTTAGTCGTCATTATATCAATTTTTCGCCCTCAGAATAACAGTAACCTTATATGTGTCGAGTGACATGGTTTTTCGTGATATAGTGTCGTGTTAAACAAAAAAAAATTAACGTTAATAGTTACTCATTTTCGAAATTTTTGCGATTACAATAAGGTGTGTGGTCATATAACGCTGCGTTAACAAATAAGTTATTCCTACTGCATAAACGTGACAAATTATTAAGTAACACCTTGTTCTATTATTTAACTTATAAGATACTTTCCTTTATTGCAGAGTTGATCAACATTTATTTTATTCAAGTTTTATTGAACACTTCCGACCGGACTTAAAAGGAACACTGGCTCCATACAAGGCAAATTTAATAAATCCGTCGACTAACTCAAAACTAACATTGTGATCAAAATATCTGCTTGTATTACTTAAATCACATACAGGAAATACAAAATTTGTCTGACGGTTTGAGTTCAATGTGTCCGAGAGAGAAGCGCGAGAAATGTGTATCAACACATGTTAGAAAGAAATAGAAGCCGGCTGAAGAGCGAAAGTCATCCCCACATTGTCTCAATAATGCAGAAAGTCGTGCAATCTGTCGCGTTGCCAACATGATGATTATGAATATGATTTTGATGCGACTTAGTGTTTTAACTTATTTTATAATTATCTTTGATTCCCACCGATGGTGATAAAATCAACACATACTGACAGCTGACAGCGAGCGATCGGAAATTTTAACAAGTACCATTACGCTATACAAATTATCACTGCCTGTGTGTACGTAGGTAAAGCAAAAACCATTTTGAAGCAGGACGAGTGTTAGGTGGGTACTGATCAAAATCGCTCATCTATGATCGTGGGGGTGGAAACTTTGCCTTGGACTGTTCGAGATGCGGTGTTATCAAATGATCCAATGATGCAGTGTTGCAAAATTTATGACGATCCTGATCTTTCATATATCGACCTAAAATGAAGCGCCGCTAGGACCGATCCTAAACAGGTTCGACTCAATTCACAATCAATTCAAACATGTGTACGCTCAAAATAAATCCATTACTTGAGCGTAGAGAATAAACTAGCGCATATGCCTCTTAAGTGCCAGATTGCCATGTCAGCGTTGCTAGGCAACGCGGTGATGGGCTTCGCTATCCAGCAGACTGCCTTCTCTCTCTAACATACGCGTCTATACACACTTCTCTGTCATACACATTGAACTCAAGCCATCATACCAATTTGTTTTCAGTGTATCAAGGTATTTCAATAAAATTAAATATTAAATTCTTTTCTCATGAAAAATACTCAATAAAGAGTACTTGAACGCTATCGTAAAACTAAGACTGTACATATATATTCATGAAAACGTTTCGGAAATAATTTCAATTGGTTATGTATCTATATCAAATTAATGTTAAATAAATAATATGAATTCAAAAATAACATAAATCGACCAAAATGGCCGTCTTATATGAGGTCAAAATCTTCCAGGTAACTTCAGAAACCTTCAGCTTAATAAAATTAATAGAATAGTAGTTTATCTACTTGAAAACTTACGTTTTGCTGTGAGCTAGGGTTATAATTTTAATGTCAACGACCGATGTCAACAAAGCGAAAAAAAAATAACGACGCTAGCGTGTTCTTGAGTTCGATGGATGTAACAGCGGATAGAAGGAATTTGCCATCGCACGGCAATAACTACGACTTTTTAATAATTGGCTTTACAAGGACCATGACCTTCCATGGTTGCCCACCTTACTTCTTCGCCAGTTGACGTGGGAAATAAAAATATGTTCAGATGTGCAACCGCACACAGGTCCAGTTGCGTCCAATTGCAAACCTGTACGCAACTCAAATCTCAACGCAGACATCGAATACAACATCATCCAAGAATGCCTAGTATATTTATATACTGACGGCGATTTTGGCAAAGCTTCAAGGCCTAATATTAGCTCGGAATCACTTGAAGCCGGCCGAAATCCAACAGTTTTTGATTTTCCTCACGATGTGTTAGTTCTTGATGTGCTTCCTACAAATTTCCCACCACCATGAATGTAAGTATTTGAAAAAGTGCAGCCTCAGCGCATGCGTATTGAAACTTTGTTAAAAATTTAACCCGCTTAAACAGGAGAGGGCAGAAAAAAGTCAGGAATTTTCGTTATGTAATGTGATCTTTCGGCAATAAATACTGTTGAGTAACATTTTTGTTGACAGATACATATACAAGTCAAGCGACTATTATATTTCTCATTTTAATAATTAATAATTTTCGAATAACCCTTCTTTCGACGATACAGAGTGGAAAAAGGTGTTGAAAATATTTCCTCGTTAGCAAAAATCATGTGTTGAACTTCCTAAATTACAATACTGTTCAAAATAACAAGGTTCCTCCAGTTAGAATGCAGGTCTCCAACCTCCCCGTCATAGACTACCGAACTGTTTCAAATAAGCCAGGGTGCTCTGTCAATGAGTTACATCTAGCAGCTTTAGTATGATTGTTTGTAAGTTTTCATAGTGTCACATACGTTTCGTTTCGATTTATATAAATATCTAGAAATGTTAGAGGTAACTTATTGACACAGGTTCTTGTGAAGTTGAACAAAATCTACCGTTTCATTCCTGTTCCGTGCTCTTCAGAAACTCATAAGTCCGATATACATATGTCTAATCTTGGAGACAAACGAACTAGAGGAAAATAAGTAGTGGGTATGGAAACAGCCCAGTCTGCGGTTGATTACAGACACGGAACGCAAACTTGTCCATTCCATCCTATGTCTATGCTTATAATACATAGAAAGCTACTTTGCCAGCTGGTTTGCTTCAAGGATACTTAGTATTCCGACTACTTGATGGGCCAATCGTGATTGTGGTGTGATATCTAACTGTGCATAGCGTAGAACGTCGAGCATTTATGAGCCATAGACGTAGGGTTCTTCTGCCATCTTCATCGTAAGGGATGAGGATGAAAATCAACTTGGCAAACAATTTGCATTGTAGGTGGAAATAGTCAGATTTCTCACCTACTTGTCCTACTATGTAGCATGGCGTCATTATAGCGAATGATCGTAATTTTAACGAATTATATGTTACTCGTATATCAATCAATGAATGTAACTTTATGCATCCGATTGTGTTTTTTGCAGATGAAGAAATACATGAGGTAGCCTGAAAACTTTGAAGCATAGCAAATTCATTTTTAGGTGCCTTTTGACGGTTATTTTACAATTTTACTTTGGTTGGACCATTTATTGTGTAGTTATTTCGGTTTTACAAAATCACGAGGGTTGAATGCAACAATTAATGAGGGAAAAGCAAAAATGTAAAAAACGCTAAGCTTGGCCTCAAAGTCAATGTTTTGCATAAGATAATTGTGTTATAAAAATTTATTCCCGAGAAAAATAAATTAACGATTTCAAAATCCAGACCCGGAAGAAATGTGATCAGCGATTTCGATAGTTCAGTGATCGAAAATATCTCTTTATTGTTTCAAACAGCTCAAAATTAGGTCATGTTTATGTCTGTGCCAAGTACAAGTTGTAAACATTTGTCTCACGCCTTAAGACAATGATTTTTTTTCAGTATTACTTCTGAACTATTTCAGCTTGTTCGCCCCAGTGTATTGTCAATATATTGTAGAATATAGATTATTTTCTTAATTTGGATTTATAATAATTAGTGATAATCGTCGTAATATAAAAAATATTCACTGCAAAACATCATGCCAATAATAGTACAGTTAAATCGGATGTATCAAGGATAAATAAATATGAAATCTTTATTAGTATGCAGTGAATGATCAAGGACCTGTGGTGCCTGAAGCACAAAGTTGTTATGGGGCCCCTATAGTTGAAGAGCGTTCTGGGGCCCCCTTGCGTGAGCGTCATATTAGATCCGCATCTGTTAGCATGTGGTGCTTTTAAAAACGTCCCCTCACTTATTTTAACGTAAAGTTGAAAAGCCCAAGATGGCGCCTGGGCGCACTTTTTGGTATATCGAGTCGCTTATAACTCAACAACTAATCATCGAAGCACTAAATTAGTATTAGTTTATGAGTTATGTATATCCTCCTTTTACAACGGTCTATCTGAGTACGCATCAAAAGAATAGGGCCATTTAAAAAAAAGACAGATTTCATCGTGGGATGTTGTGATTTTTATAACTTCGCTATCAATACACCGATTTCAAGAAAATATAGCAGCAGCTAAAACTTATGCAACAGAAAACAAAAATAAAATTTGACTTACAAAAATCGAAAAACCACTGAACTATGACACACAACAAAGCATCAAAGATCAGTGAACGGTCATACACGTCTGTGTGATATAAAAACATTTGTTAGTCATAAATCTATTTCAAGAATAATTAGAACAAACTATATCGACGATGCGCTAAAATATATTTCTAAAAATACATCTAGGTAGCTGCACACAATTGAACCCTAGGCAATGTTAGCATCAGGGACACTGCTAAGTGTCGACATAATAGATAGAATATTAGAAATAAACGTAGGTTTAAGAAAATCAATAGCTGACATCACGAGATAATCGCAAAAAATTACCTCAAAAAATAGAGATCTTCATACCTGATGGACATTCCCTAGACAGCAACCTCAACCATAACCTACCCCCTCCCCTCCAGTACACGAACGCCCCTATAGATGCACCCGTCCTCCGCTCTTCAATTGGCCAGTCTAGTGATGTGTAGTTCGAGAACGAACTAGTTCAAACGAACGATTTTTATGACTGAACTAAGTGAAGTAGTTCCTCATTCTTCGAAAAACTGGTTGATCAGGAACGACTGGTATTACAGGATCAATATGCCAACTAGTTGTGAGTGCACGAATGAGAACGAGAGAGCAGGTGGGACACCACCGTTGGCAACGAAGTAAGCAGAAGTTTGTATAACTGGTTGCCTGGATACAATCGTGGTTTAGTTCAAGGATATCGAATAGAATAGCAAATGCCGATAGTTACAAAGACTGAATTATAATAAAATAATTCAAGTGAACCATCTTATATCATTATATAATCACTAAAGTAGTAAATCAAAACATTTTAGCATTGTAAAAATGATTTTTCTAATACACTTCAAAATTCGCGATATAGGCACTTTTATCTCGGAAACTAGACCCAATTAGAAAATTTCCTATAGTATGAAAGAATTATTCCGATAACGATCACTAATTATGGAAAAAATATCAATTAGGTAGATATTGTTGTCGTATAGTGTCATATGTGTCATACTGTCGTACTAAAGTCAAAATTTTGTTTATATATTATTATTATACTCGTATACTTTACAACAGTACAAATAAGCAATTTATCGTCCCTGCACTTCTTCCTTATAATCCTTCTGTTTTGGCACAGGTAAGTTTGTTCTTCTGGAGCTGATATACACCTAAGTACAATAAGTCGATTGTCTGACCAATTTTTACCGTAAATCGTCAATAGGTACAGAGCCAGGGCAACACTTGTAAATGGCGAGAACCGTACGCGGCGGGCGCATAACTTTGTGGCTAGCATTAAATCTTTTTTAGCAAATAAAATATTTTTTAGTAGCTACATCAGTCATGTTGTATTTAGTTTTGATAAATACACCCAACACCAGACAGACAGAAATTCTATTTGTAATCTAATGGATATTTTAGTTCGCAATTTTTTTTATGATACATGTATATGGGGTATTTAGCGAAATTTTCAAGCGCCTCAAGCATATTGGTTATTATTGAGTTTTAAGAGATAATTCCAAAATTTACGTTTTGTATTCTGGCCTGTATTATAATAAAATAATTCAAGTGAACCATCTTATATCATTATATAATCACTAAAGTAGTAAATCAAAACATTTTAGCATTGTAAAAATGATTTTTCTAATACACTTCAAAATTCGCGATATAGGCACTTTTATCTCGGAAACTAGACCCAATTAGAAAATTTCCTATAGTATGAAAGAATTATTCCGATAACGATCACTAATTATGGAAAAAATATCAATTAGGTAGATATTGTTGTCGTATAGTGTCATATGTGCCATACTGTCGTACTAAAGTCAAAATTTTGTTTATATATTATTATTATACTCGTACTTTACAACAGTACAAATAAGCAATTTATCGTCCCTGCACTTCTTCCTTATAATCCTTCTGTTTTGGCACAGGTAAGTTTGTTCTTCTGGAGCTGATATACACCTAAGTACAATAAGTCGATTGTCTGACCAATTTTTACCGTAAATCGTCAATAGGTACAGAGCCAGGGCAACACTTGTAAATGGCGCGAACCGTACGCGGCGGGCGCATAACTTTGTCGTAGCTGGTGTCATATGATATCATTCATTTTTTGAAATATAAAAAAGATCAGTGCTGCACTATGATTTTGAATATGTTATAAAAAATAGGAAACAAACTCATTGAGCGATTTAGACGGATTCGGATTCAGCACATCAAAAACCTTCGGGAAACTATGGTTTGGTTTCTGAGCAAAAATCTGTTCGTTCTGAGTTATTTTATTTTTTCGTCTGTAGAGGTAAAAAATTCCCAATTTCTACGCGGCTGGTATAGTCTCAGTCACTAAATTTTTATATCTATTGGTTATGTAGCTAGTACTACATGTATAACATTTTGCATCAATATCTTTTTGAATTTAAAAATATATACTGAGTGACAAAAGAAACACTTGTATGTTTATTAGAATTTAAGAATTTTTTACATATCGATTTATCTTACCATGAACAAGTGATAAAATGGGCAGGTTTTTCTGTCAATGAGTGTATAAGAAATCGTGAATCGTGAACCAGCTTCTGCAGTCAGTTGACGAATCAAGCTGAAAATTTAATCATTTTACTAGTAAGATACACTGAACTTAAATACCAAAAATTGTCAAAATCGGATACACATACGTAAGCGTTTATCTTTTTTTGTCACTCAGTATAACTTCAACACCCTGTATCTCGACAAGGAGGAATTTTGAGCCCCATGTTGATGAGAAATTTTCCAGTCATTTTTGGACCTACTTTTTACCCCAGGAATGTTGTAACGATTTTCAGAATCAATTGCCTTCAATTTTTGTTCTTGCATTATGATTTTTGAAGCCTGAACATATTTTTTGGTTGGGTTGGATATTGGGTTCCACATTATGATCAGTGATTTTTCGAGAGTTTCTCAACAGGACTTAATTCTAAACAGAGCATTTTCGCGCAAATCTAGGTTAATGGGGCTATAAAAGATGCCAATAAAATTGCAAAATGTTGAAGATGTTTTCCTTGACGGAAAATCCGTAATAACGCTTCTAATATTATATGTGATGACGATGCATCATCATAATGAGGTTCTCACTTTCCTTAAAATATTTTCAACTTATCCAGTAGTAGTAGTTGTGGGGGGGGGGGTCAAAGTGGCAACTAGGCCACCTTTGACCTTTTTTTACCGACCCCGTAGTACTGACACTGTACTACTCCCCGAGGAATCTACTGGTAACTGATATAATAAACCAGCTTCAGTAATGAGCTGTACCACGTTGTACCTACTTATACAAGTAGTAGTACTAAATTTTATTTTCAACATGATTTTCTGAATGAATAAATTCCAAAAGTTGGCTTTTGCATGCATGCTATAGTTTGATTTACCTGGCCAGAGGGAAAGAAATAATCAATGTCCGAGTATAATCCAGACCCACCGACGTTTCAGCATGTACTTCCATTATAAAAATTTTACAATAGTTTAAATTGTTTTGCATGTTTTTTCCCCTAAAATATGAAAAATCAAAATAGTATGTTTGGCATAAAATATGTGTAATAATTTCAAAGAAATTTGTGAAACAAGATTTGAGACTCGAGCTATACAGGGTGTTTCAAATTCGCCCCTCACCATTGAGATCTATAAGAGATACGAAGTCATTTAAACGTTGCGTATTTAGGTAATCAACAAAATGCCACTTTCAAAGTTTCGAAATTCAAAGTATCCGGAAGTACAGAAGGAAAAAACTGAATTTTCCCAAAATAAATTGCACATTAACATCGCCAATTTTTCTCTTCTACAAGATGACAATCAGAATTTCAATATATCTCTTGTCCTCCAGCATCCACTTGATTTTTTTCTTATGGATGCCATATTGGATTTTTGAGCAAATGAATAGAGGTTTTAATTCTGATTTCAAAAATGTGTGATATGTCATAGGTGCAATTACATAGGCCTTGAAATTATTTTTATTTGTTTCGTATGTATACCAGACTAGAGCTCAAATTGAACACAGCAACAGAGCTTGTAAGGCTGTGAAGAAGAGAAATAAATCGAGCAGTGAACAATTTACAGATAAAAGTCAGGCTCTGTCTTCAAAATAACATACAACATTTTGAACATCTGGTATGATTTACTTCTTATTTATGATTACTATTGTTATTACTTATAATTTGCATCCATCAACGAATTCATGGTCAACTAAGTTAATACATCACTGAATTTAGGGCTGAAAAGTCCATTTAAATGTACAAAATTCCAATATAGCGTCCATATGAAAAAACAAAGTTGGTGATGGAATTCGAAAGAAGGAATATCGAATTGAGAACTTAACTACGCCATCTTGTCGAGGAGAATAGGTAACAACGACACCATGCAATATACGAGTATATTGAAATCCAATCTCAAATAAGGTCGTGAAGGAATAAAAGTGATTTTGGGATAAATTTTGTATACGAAACAAAGAAAATTCTGCTTTTTCAAATAAATAACGTTTGGCAATGAATGTATGATGTGATATACATTTTGGAATCAGAACTGAAAACTCTTTGTATCTGTGCAAACATCCAATATGACGTCCATAAGAAAAATAAAATTGATGCTGGAGGAAAAGATACGAAACGTAATATTCAAATTCTAGTTAGCAATGTTAATGTTCAATTTATTTTGAAATCGCACTACAGAAAATTAAGTCTGTCTCCGAAAGTACTTTGAATTTAGAAACTTTCTAAGCGGCAATTTGTTAATTACCTAAAGATGCAACGTTGTCCCCATTTAAGCGAGTTCGTATCTCTTACAGTTTCCGAGATCCCAATGGTAATAAGGGTCGAATTTGAAACACCTTGGATACGTTACATAACAATTGACGAATGATATACAAATTTGTAAGAACTCGTTTATTTTTTTTGTAAGCTGCAAGTTTCTGAAAATCTTGACACATTTGAGTGACGCGTATTTATTATTAATTGATTGAAATTTATCTATTGTTAAAACATTATTTGTCGATTATAGACATATTATCTTAGTATGCTGATAGACTCGAATAGGTGTAAGGGTAAGTCGGTTTTTACAAAATACTTACACTTAGATCATTGGCTAGACATGTTCTTTGTGGCGGGGCAGACGTTCTATTTTTCACATTATATGAGCAGTTATTTTTTTATTTTTGAATACTTAAATAAATACTAGGCCTTCTATGTATGCGCTTTGCTGCGGTAATTTTGAAATTCGCTCGTAAATACATGCAATGTATTAATCTAGTTTCTAGGAATACTTACATCTAACCAATTGTTTTACATTTTTAGGGGAAAGATAACAAATGGCGACCTATACCGATCGCAAATCCATCGTCGCGTCTACGACTGGCAAGAAATATGCCCCAATGGGTGGTAAGTACAGTGATTCTTTTCTATCGATTTTTTTGTGAAAATGGCATGAAAGGAGAGACGAAATTTGGTCTTTTCTGCAGTGAGTTGACGCTTTGAAATACATTTGGCTGTCTTTGGAAAATTTACTTCCCCCTGCTTTTCAAACATTTTATAGGGTTGATAAACTTTCACAGAATACAAAACTTTAATCTTGCCGATGCCTAACCGGCCACTCCTGGGAAAAATTCCTGCGGGCGTCCAAGGCTAGAAACATGATTTAATAAAGGTACCTTTCCATGCAAACAAAACGAAAAGTTATCCTTAAGCTGGGTCCTAAAACACCCCCTTAGTGAGATACAGAGAAATTAGATCTTCGGAGTATGGTAAAATATTGGCTAAGTTATGTACACGTAATACTAACAGCTTAGCTAATACATACAAATATATTCGTGTCTGCAACTACACCATATTGGCGTAAGAATAAGGAAATTTCGACCCATACAGAAGAAAAAGTAAAGTAAAATTATTTAAGTTGTTCAATTTAATACGAATCGCTTCTATTGCGAAATTTTTGTCATATTACTCTAAAACGATTATAAAAAATTTGAACACTGACATTCATTACGCGCCACCCTGTACGTCTGTGTATTTTATGTTCTTTATTACGATTTAGTGAAACAACACGAAAAACAAAATCAGCATATAATATTTATTTATATACTATACATATAATATAAAAGAAACACTTGCAATAATGTCATGTGCTTTGTTTGCAATTTTATGAAAAAGGGAACTTACCATTCCTGCTCTTCCTGAATATACTGTATTTAAAAAATAATAAAAAAGCATAGAACAATATACACATTGATTCATAAAAAACTTTAAAACTATGTGATATCTTACATAGAATGATAAAATTATAACTATAAAGTAGTGAAAATAATGTGGTTGTTCAATAAAGATGAATATAACCGAACTATATAAAGGACATAAAAATATATTTAATATAAAATATGAAAAGGATGTAGATCACATATCAGTAGCCATTACCTAAAAACAATAATGTGATACTGGAACAGCTAAATTTCTAATATTACTTATATAAAAATAAACAGTCCATATATGGCCATGTGCCAAGTCCTTCAGAATATCTTCTCTTGACTGGTACACCAATTTTATATAACTTTTGGTCATCTCTATTTGACCAAATTTTCAAAATTACGGTTAATAAACAATAAGATGTCTCATAATATGAGAAATTTTTATTTTAGTAAATTTGTTTTTAGTTTTTGCACTAGATCTCATGAATTGAAAAATCAATATACCATTCAAACCTGAGGTATTGTGTTTCATACCTTGGTCAAGATAGAGAATATTGAAATGTTACACAGTTCCCTTCCATATAAGTTTTAACCAGTGAAATATTTTTAATACTTCTAACCACCATAACTTATTTTCCAATAATACTTTGTTATATTTTAGAATAATCTGCATGATGTCTAACAGAATGAGTTTAACTCTAGTGCTCTATATTTACACTGATTCAGTATAATTTTCAAAAAGCTTAGCTGCTCACTATATATTTAAAAAAAAATATGGAATGTCTTTCCAAAAGGGACTAGTCAAGATAAAAAATAACACTTATCCTAATTGATGATTATGACAGATGACACTATAATGGCACTTGATATAAAAATTAGCTTTTGGTAAAAAATGATCAATTCTCTTCTTTGCAAGATGAAATACTGGCATTAATGTGTCAAGTCTTATCAATGTAGTGTATTCAAAGTTTTTCATAACAAAATATACATGTATTCGAGTAGAATTGATATATTTGTACCATTCAAGAAAAGATAATAACTAAATCTAGGTGTATATGTTTTTTATTACTCTATCAGTTCTCATCAAATTCCATGTAGCATAAAGCTTCGAAAAATTGGTTGAATGTATACCAAAAATAGTACAACATAAAGCTACTTAGTAAGATTTTAATAAGTGTGGTTTCAAATACTGTCAATCAACTTTCCAATAGTAAAATATAAACTAATATTAACCATATATGATTTTTCACAGTCCTACAACTATTTTTGAACTGATAACAGAGATAGGGTAGAAAAAATATTGCCACATATTTTTCTTCATTATTAGAATGATTCAATTAGGTTTTCTTTTTGGTAAATAATTTAGCAGGCATATCTTCCATTCAGTGATTGTCAATAACACATTGCAATAAAAAAAATATATGTTTTATAAAAAGTTAATCTTACACATTCTAGGGTACTTTAATGCTCTAGGATATTCCTAAATATACATACATACATCTTATGTTGTAATGTAACTCATTTATTTTTGAGATACAAACAGAAAAATTCGGGCATATCAAATACAAGAGCCTGAAATTTTTTTTTTCAAATAATATGTGTTGTATGGACAGGCGCGTCATAGCCGTGTGGACTGGGTGCTTAGGGGCTTAAGTCCATCTATCAAAATTTTTTCTACACCTATTTGTAAGATTGATGCTTCAGCAGAATGCTCTTTCAGTGCTTTGCAACAATTGAAGACCGATCTTCAATGTACTGTGACACAAAATCATCTGACTCAAATCATGCATTCATACCCATCAAAAATTAACTAGAGATCTAGAACTAGAGAGAAAAAGTGTGTTTGATGAAAGAAAACTTGTACTTGGTAAAGTGTAAACATGTGATACGTGATGAATAATACAAAACAAAGCTTATGTCCATTTTACAGTCTTTTATCTAAACTGTTTTTATAGTGAGCCCAGCCATGAAAATTTTCGTTCCGACGCGTCTGTGTGTGGAAATAAAGGTTTGGATATACTACAAAAAAAAACTTGTGCAGAGGACTAAGAAAATTCTGTGTGTAAAATATTGCAAGTTGACAGTTTTTTCTCAGGAAATTAAACATTTCTCACAAATTGGAGAAATGATGGAGCAGTTAAAGCTAGATTACTGAATGCAAGATACTTCAACAACTCTACTAGGATATGATACATCTATTATTAGTATCTAATACCGCCAATATATTTACAAATCCTTTGAGTTTGTGGAACTATCATCATGATTTGAATTATTATCACCTTGATTAGAATTTTCTTCATCTGAATTTTCTTCATCTTCCTCTTCTTCTACCTCCATTTTTTCATTTCTAACACCATCAATGCTCCTCTCATCATCCGTTTTCTCCTTTTTCACCCCATCATAACTTCCTTCTCTTTTCCCATCCTGTTTCTGTTCTTGTTTTGAGTTTTCATCCTCTTCTTTCTCATATCTCTCTTCACTTTTATATCTACTTTTACCAAAAACTTTATATTTATACCCAATATCATCCCTCTCATGCAGTTTTCTGTGTAACTGCATATATGATTGCGTAGAGAAGTCCCTATTGCAAATATCACATCTTGCATTCTTCATACCTTTAATAAAATACTTTTTCCTTGTTTTTGGCCTTCCATGCTTTCGTACTTTATGCCTCAATAGACCTGTAGGGCTGTTGAAGATTCTCCTACAAACATCACAAACATATTCACCATTTTCTGTCATCTGTACATTGGCCTCAACATCAGCTAAAGTCAAGCTGGGTTGGTAATTAGTCTCTAAGTCTTGTAATGTGATCGACTGGTTGACCATATCATTATCATCTCTATGTGCTTGTATACAAGCATCGTACTCAGGTCGAGTGAGAAATTCTGAGTAACAGATTTCACATTTGAAAGGCAACTTTCCTAGATGGAACTGATTAAAATGATGTTTCAAGGTCTTTTTGGTTGGAAATGATTTCTGGCACTGTTCACATGGGTAAATACCATTTGCTCCACCATTTTCTGATGAGCTGCTAAATAAGAAATGCTGCCCTGAAGTGAAGAAATCATCTTGGGACTTTGGAAGAATAGGAACATATTTTTGGTCATTACCATTCTGGATGCTTTCACCATTAACATTAAAGTCTTTCAATGTTATTTTAGCTTGTGAAATCACTTCATCATAGTCATTAACATCATCTTCTGTCCTATCATCTGCCTCTTCAGCAAGTCCAAATATTGAAGGGTCAACTTCAACACTTACCTCTTCGCTCTTACCAACTGAGAGAATTTCATTCACACTGGAACTTTTTTGCTTAGGTTCTAACAAAGGTTGTATTGAAGTTTGTGTTGGAACAAGGCCTGGGATGAATTTTTGAAAAGTGTTGTTCAAACTCAAAAACACATTCTGATTGGTATCCTTGCCAGGATCAGTTTGGGGCACTAGAGGAGGTACAGGATTATTCAATGCTGCTGTGGGTATGAGGTTCAAAAAGACGTTTTGAAAAGAATTGTTTGTAAGTTGATTTTGACCACCAACCATAATTTTTACATACTTCTGGTTTGGAAGGAGCATGTATGTACCTCCAGGTGACTGTAGACCATCAGATTTTCCAGCTTGAAGGTTCGGAGATTCGTTTTTCCTTTGAGATTCCTTAACAAGTTCGACATAGTTTTTCAAAACAGCCGCCGACTGCACACACTGTTTTTTGAATCCATACGCAATATTCAGCCTTTTTATACATGGATGACACAGCAGAGGCTTAAATGCCGCCCATTCCTGCAAATTTAATAATGTTAGCTAACGAAAAATAATCGCTAAGCGTACTAAAAAAATAGCTATGGGAAACTTCCTTCATATTTCTACAAATTTCAACTAGTTAGCCATGGAAAAACAATCGTTGAGCGAAAAAGAAATATTCATGGCTACCTCTGTTTATATTCATGTAAATTTAAACGAAGTTGACCATGGAAAAACAATTGCAAATTGAAAAAATCATACCACTTCCGATACGGTGTGTTGCAGTTTGCTCATCAAAGTTTCGTTTGGTTCGTTCTCGATGTGAGCCAAATCTATCAAGTTCTTGTCATATTTGAGGCACACACGACAGAAATTCGGTAACGTGAACATTGTCATCGGATGATAAAGGTAGATTTCACAGGAATTTTATAAAATTTTAAAAGCTTTCATTGCTTTGTCAACTATAACGCCATGTTATAACAGCTCACCACAACAAAAAACTGTCGAATCTCGGTGTTGCCAGCCTTGCAGGGCGGAAAGTTACTAGGAATGTTATTTGAAATTTTGCCGCGCCACACCTTCCTAAATAATTTTGGTAAAGTTTGCCGATATTATTTATTACTTTAGTTGCTTACATATTATTTTTAGAATTGCGGATATAAAAAGCTCTTGCGTGGATGTAACTCGCTAGAAATATATTTTGCAGGAAGTTTGCTTGATTCAAGATTATTTTAAATATCAAAACTGATGTGTGACTCTTTTTTAGAGCTTTCTATTTATGTTAGATATCCTCGATATGAATTAATATAAAAATTCCTATAAATCATGAAGAACCTCAGCTCAAAACAATGTGATGGTGGCGACATCTGTGATGACGTTGCTGAACTTGTTTGAAACAGGGACGGAATAAGCCATTTTTGTTTGGATATGAACAGATACTGACTTGATTCGGTAATAATATCCATTGTAGTACGATCAAAGTTAAACTGCCCACAGATACTATTGAATCTAAAGAAATTATTTACAAATCTTTGTGAAATTTTGTCATGCCAACGATTCATCTGTCGAACTTATATAGGATAGAAACTTATAAGAAAAAGGAATATAATATAATAATGAATTGACAAAAACGTTATTCGATTTTCAGAACAAAGCTGGTGTCAGTGGGATCCCTCCTCCACCTGTGCCGAAAGAAGAAAACAAGAAATTAAATGGCAGAAACAAAAATCAAGAACCTGATTATGAAGTTATTGAATTCGGACAATATTCCAATGCTTCTGCAGTAACCAACAGAAATGGTAAGATTGTCAATCAAATTGATTTGTCCGGTTCTTTTACTACTTATATAATTTTTGTTTAAACTTTATCAAATCATTTTTTAAGTACGCGACGTCTAGAAATTTGAACTTGTTACAGGTTCAGGGAAACCAGAACGCCATTGTCAACTATGTGGATCTTCAACCCCCTCAGTGCAATGTGAAGATTGTGCACAAATTTTTTGTTTGTCCTGCGATGATATGTATCACAGACACCCAAAACGTCAGACTCATACCAGAAGGGTATGTGTCAGTTTTTTTAGATAGTTGAGTATGCGATCTCACCTCATTATTTCCCAAAAGAGCTTCTTAAGAGTAGACTTGCTAAGTCTAACCATAACCTTTTGTTTCCATGAATAACATAAAAAATACTCTTATGAAAAAGTAATACTGTTTCGTGATTCGTCCTCCTTTGCCACTACCCCTATACAGGGTGTCATATAATAAAAACTATGACTGATTCTACGAAAAAATATGAAAAAAGTACATATAAATAAATATTAATCCGAAAATTCCCCGTTTCCCCGTTTCCACGAACGTGGTGTTCAAACTGTTTAGCAGAAAGTCGGACGCCACTGGATTTTGCAAAAATCAGTGTCGTTTTCTCAAATTCATATTTTATTTTGCTCGGAACCCTTCGTTATGTTCGTTAAAAATAGTGTCTGCCCGATTACTATTTTTTATTAGGGCTGTAAGATCAAGATTTTTGTAAAAATTAGTGGCGTATTGTACTCGCCGGCACGAACCCCACTGATGTGACTGCTTTAAAAGCAATTTTGTACTTGCTAATGTGGTGTTGGTAATACACATTTGCAGGACTCGTATCACTATCTCAATCTGCTGTAATATGGCGTCCATAGTTAAGAATAAAGTTGATGATGAAGGACAAGAGGCAAAAGGTCATACTGAAATTCTAATTATGTCATCTTGCAGAGAAGAAATGGCAATCTTAATATGCAATTTATTTTAAAACCTCAGTACAAATAAAATCAAGAAAAAATTAATAGTAATTTAGGAAAATCCGTTTTTCTGTGTCCCTCCGGAAGTACGTTGAAATTCTCTAAGAACATTTTGTTACTTACATAAATACGCAGTTTTGCGCCTATTTAAGCGATTTCGTATGTCTTACCGTTTCCGAGATCCCAATGGTAAGGATCGAAATTGAATTACCCGGTATAAGTGTAATGTTATTAATAATTTCCATAGCGAGTGGAGCAAGCGATCCGGCCTCCCTTGCCCCCCAAAGGCGATGCTCCTGCCCCTCCGGTGCCCCCTCCGAGACGCCATAGGCGTGCTGGTTCCATTGGACCGTCCCCTTGCTCCAGCCCCCTGCCTAACAGAAACCAGGTAACGCTTAAACAATATTTCTGCTGTAGCTAACCATACCTCTGTTTTACTTTACTTTTATTATTAAATTGTACATAACACTTATAAGTTGTATAACACTGTTTTTAGCAATAAATATGAGTATATTTGCACAGTTTGTCTCTGTAAAATCCGAAGCCTTAGACACACTTATTGTTTTTCTGTATCTTTCTTATTAATAAAAATCCCACCTCTCACCGAAATGCATAATCATGGTTTTTAAATTTGCGGAAATTGAGTGAAACTTTCTATAGAGTAAGGAAATTGTGACAGATTTTCGGGATGCAGACTTTATAAAAGAAAAAATAACATCTGGACATGTGATCAAGATACTGTCTTTCATCAAGCCTAAAAGTGAAAATAGTATATCTGGGTAAATTATAACCACTTCTTAATAAGATTTTTTTATTGAATAAGAGACGCATTATACGGATGTCCTAGAATAAGATGCCATCATTCCTCTAATGTCATACGTCGTTTCCTTAAGGAGATACAGATGTACCTATGTCTATAGCACGCTACAGAGGGAATCGGTTATTGTTTAAATAACATTTGAACGACACTATACATGGTGTTACTTAATAACAGGCCGTAATCCAGTGCATATAAACATATCTGTCCTAAGAAGTCTAGTTCCCAAGGTACAGAGTATCAAAGTTGAAAAAAAAGTTTTTTTTATTAATATCTCAAAGATCCTTGTAGAGATTTTGTCGAATTTGACAGTGTTGTTCATTGCAATAAGTCGCTAAGTTAGCACAAACTAGAAGATAATCATGAATTCCGTATCGTCTCGAGAGGCAGTCTCACGAATAATATTGACAAAAGAAAAAACATATTTTTTTCGAATTAAACAGATGAAGGTATCACATTTTTGTCGCTTGGTTTCCCATCGTATCATACTCCATTATAGAGGAAAAAATAAAAACAACCTCATTACATGTCAAAAAATTGTTAAAAAAATCACTTTGAAATGATAGATGCAAAATATTTATTTAGAAACCGTTTTTTAAAATCTACGGAATGAAAAATAAACAATTTGATAAAATATTTACAAAAAATGTTGGAAATGTCCTCCTCCCGCTTCTATGCAGGTCTCTTTTTTTAACCTTGACATCCTGCATCTTGAAAACCAGACTTTTGAGGACACGTGTTTATATAAACTTTCCTACTCACGCCCTTGTGGTTATGACCTATCCTTAAGTAACTCCCTTTATAATTCAATGACATTTTGACAGCACATTTGTCACAAATTTGTTGCTGTATCCAGTATATTCTGATAATATAATCGCAATTAGCGACCCGAACCCCAGGATATGGATTTTCAAAACATGTAATCAAGTCAAGTTTTATGTCGAACTATTGGGAGCTTGACTAGAGCGTAAATCGATAGGAGTAGGCGCCTCAAAAATATTATTTTTATACCTCTATTATACCGGGTGCACAAAAATCGAGAATGCTGCATTGGAACTAAATCGTATCTGACGATGCAAATGATTTAATTGTTTTCTTTGGGAAGCAATATATGAGGCCTCAACTCTTTGCTTCACTTTCATTGAATCAGAAAGTATCGTTTAAAAATTATTTAAGGAAAACCGATTTCTAGTAGCCTTTTTTAGATGCTTGTATCCCCCTAGTTGAGCCCCGTAGAACTTATGCCATTATTTTTTTGTATTCAGAGAGATTGTCATTTGAGCTTGGAACACCCTGTACATTTTTAAAACCACACACCAAAAACAGCAAAATAGATAAGGTGCTATAAAAGAACTCCGGGCGAATTTGCTGATTTAGCTTACAATGCAAGATTATATAACTATGAATTTTTGTGACAAAAATGCAAGGTCACTGACGAGACTCTGTAGAGCTGCAGGAAATTTCTACTCGATTTTCTTGTGCTAAGTTGCTTTCTACGACTAGCCGAGAAACGTCATCCCTATGCTTTACAACATTTTTCTCCTTCTTTTTTTTTCTCCTTAATTCTTTTTTTTCTTGGTTATGCTTTAGCTTGGCCCCTTATAAGCCCGTAACAGGTAACACCTACACCATTTTTTATACGTGGAGCGATAATAAAGATTCATTTTCAGGGGCTGCCCAACAGGAGCACAAGCACATTGAACAACAGGGGAAGACTGGGCAATACTATCAATATGAATACTTTGAGGAAAGACAGCATGGACAGCAGACCTTTACCACCAACACCATCTCCATCTGAATGTAAGTTGCCTTGGTGTTGTAATGATATTAATAAGAAATCAGTCGGATAAAGTTGTACCACTTTAAAACCAAAGAGATTCTATCCCAGAATTTAAAAATGATAGGATTGCTACCAGTCCAAAATCTCGTTGAATGGTATAATTATAGTGTTTAATGAAAATAGTTGATAATTATTGTTTATGGATGAAATGTTTTACCAACATGTTTACAACATGTCTAAATAAGGATAAGAAGTGTCTGTTTCCCTAAAGCATATGGGACTATTCTAAAATCAAAAAAAAAAAATCATTTTGCATTCAAGAATTTCTAAGATTTTTCTCAAGACGAAATATCTGCCTCGAGGGAAAATATATTCTGACGTTTCACCTTTCCCCAAGGGCGCCCGCAGGAATTATTTTCGGAGGAAGATCATAGGAAGGTTCCACATTTTTTGATGTTTACTCAAATCGAGAGATTTTGTTATTAAAAAACGATAAAAAAACTTGAACAGAAAATATTGATATTTACGTAGACTAAAAGCATTTCAAAATCAAGGATCGGCGCGAGGCTGGAAAACGTACCTGTGCGAGGCTGGAAAACGTACCTGTGCGCGAGACTAGACCGCGTGACGTCAGTATCCAGACACACCTCGCTAGCTGGCCCGCTGCATTTACCATTCTCACAACGCCCCAGTAATCGGTTTGGAGTAGTTAGAGCTGGTACGATAGATTATTGTGAAATTCTGTGAACTTTGACGGTGTTAAATGTCGATCAGAAAGTGGTGTTTTGTGCCAAAATGTACAAGTACGTCAAGTACAACACCACAAAAAAATTTGTGAGTGTTTCAAAAGCTGCCGCACAACGTAAAAAGTGGTTTGACGCAGCTCGACGGGATGTAAAATAAGTTTCTTCCAAGTCGACCATGTACTGCTGCGAAGATAATTTTGACCTGGAAAAAGATATGGAAAACTATCTACAAAACAATATATGAGTACCGTTGAATCCCAATATTGCACCTCATAAATTTGCATGTCAACTGGGTAGACAATTAAGCTCTACGCGAGTGTTCAGCGAAAAAATTGCAAGGCAGAAATACATCGCCAAATATTTGCAGCCAGCGGCGGCACGCCGGGCGGGACCCTCAACCGGAAAGTCCGAGCCTGAAGGCGTGGAAGTTATTAACCTTTAACAGTAGAAGTTCAGTCACAGGTATGTGACAAGGCATGCCAAACCAAATAGGTACATTTAAGGAGCAAGTCAGTTCAAATCTCGTAAAAACGGAAAGTAATGGATGTTGCTGTATCGCTAATAAGAATTCCTGCGCATGCTAAACAGATTTCAGAGCGTCCAAAAAAACGTTTGCAAGTGGAAAGTGAACGGGCCAATCTTGAAAGGCCCGCAATAACAGAAACATCCGAATCTGATTCGTACGAAGCCAGTGGAAGCAGTACTGAAACTAGTGACAGCGAAGCTGACCAGCTTACTGCCGAGATCGTAGTGATTCTAAGCGCAATATTAGTCAACGTTTAGAACCTGACTTCATTGCCCTTCCCCCGATGCAGCACTAAACTTTGTTATTTTAGTAGCTATAAAATTATATATTTTGACTGCCCCCTCTAATTTAAGTATTCCTCAATAGACCCTCTACATCCCTGGAATTTCACATTGAAAACATATTAGGTACCATACGTTACTTCAGAATAGTGTAATAAAGCCTCATTATGCATGCAAAAATAACCAATTTCGGGGCTCTTAATAGCCGTAACAAGGTAAAAAGGTATGTATGATAATTTAAATTCCATAATATTTTACCTAGGAAGAAAAAAGCAGAGATAAATAGCGTTCATAATTATTGTCACGAGCAGGCATTATTATGTCTTAATATTATTAGCTTTCAATAGACTAAAGCAAAGCAGGATCAATTTTTGCGAAGATATACAAAAAAATACTGCCCATTGGAGCTAAACAAAAAAAATAGCTTCATATAGGTACTTACCGAGCTACTTTAACACCGCTGCTCTGAGGTTCATTTAAATTTGCATTATTTGCCAAAAATTCGTACACCATTACCACATGCACATGGGGTAAATTTCGCGAATCAGCTTTCTGATAGTAACCTTGGAGCATTGTGCTGGCACAAATAAATAAAGTACACAAACGTCGTTCCTAGTTTATATAAATTCGTATTCGTATACGCTTCACTCCGTATACAAGACAATACAAGATACAAGTACTCTATGAGGGCGACAGCACGTGTCTGGCTACTGACGTCACGCGGTCTAGTCTCGCGTACAGGTACGATTTGTAGCCTCGCGTCGATTCTTGATTTTAAAATACTTTCCGTCGACGTAAATATTAATATTTTGCACTCAAATTTCTTTAACCATTTTTTAATAACAAAATCCCTCGATTTTAATCAAAATAAGAGAAATACAAAAAATGACGAACCTCTCTATTATCGGCAAGAGAAGAACTTTTTGAAGAGCGGAGGTGTAGCAAATTTTCTAAGAAGAACATTTTCCCGATTAGAATAGTTCCTGGGAAAGTAAAACAAGGATAAGCGTCGCCAACCTTCTATGTTAATTCTGTTATCTGGTATAAGTGCTATTAATAGATATTCAGTTTTTTAAATAACTTATGATGGATTCACATAGACTTAGCTTCAACAAAGCACTTTATTAGTTCTTCGTAGGTTACGCACAAACGTTTTTTTTTGGCATCAATTAACCATTACTTAAAGCGATATCTTATTTTCAGCATTCAAATCAGATATATCAAGAAACACGTCGTTCAACAGTAATAGAGATAGGCCATCTAGAGCACCAAGTCCTAGTCCATCATTGAAACAAAGATACAGACAGCACCAGCTGGCTATGAGAGGCACTACACCAAATCTACCATCTACTGTATCCGATTTTGACCAGGTATAGTTTACGACAGACTTATAAATTCTGTTTACATTTTTTTGTTTCTCTATGGCACCGACACTCGTATAACATGATCATTATATGATACAGATCTAAATGATAATAAAATCTGGATCGTTTCTATAAATTATACTGCTGATCAATGTGCAATAACGTAAAAACCCAGGATAAATCGCATTGTTTCGATACGGACAAGGCAACAAATTCACATAATTCGGCTGTGCTATAAATTAACCGACAAGAACCGCTAGCCCCCACCTCTTTCTCGCCCCCACACTTCCACAAGCTAGCAAGTGGGTCCGGACGAACCTGCCTTCTCAGTTTTATAGCTTTTTGACAACCGTTGAAAATTGGAATAGGATTACTATCAGGGTGTCCGCAAAGTTGGGCTTTTCCTTTACACGATCTGTAGATATTGAGAAAATAAGCGGATTTTCTTAGTAGCACATACATCAAAGTCTTAAGAGAACCGAGATATTGGGCTCCGCAGACTCAATCAAACCTGAACCAAACCGAATCCGGTCCTGTCCTATCCCTCGATCACGTTCACAGCGCCAGCGCACAGTTTGCGACGTACGACTACGATGTAAATACGGATTTTACGACAGAGCCGTACTTGGAATTTCAATTTTCATTTATCTTTTTTACTTGTTCGCTCACGTTTCACCACACATTAGCTTTATTATATCAAGCGTAGTTTTGTCTGAAAACAAAAACGCCAACTTCGCGGACACCCGGTATATACCACAAATGTCTTTTAGGCACTTCAAAAGTAGAAAGATGGACGATTCACAGTTCATTGATTTTATTTTTTCAAAAATTTTTACCACGTTGAAATATCATTATTTTGCCTTTATCTTCATTTTTCCTACGAACGAGAAATGGAAAAACTTGCACTTCAAACGTAAAATTTTGACTTAAAAATTGCGAGTGACGTGATACGTATTATGTAACCGTCAGTCTCATATTCCGATTGTAATTCCTTATAGATGGTTGTCAGTATTTACTGTTATCCGTCAGTATTTATCAAGGAATGTGATATTTATTGACCATGTAGTCAGGACATGAGTAGTTATATTAATTATAAGGTTACGTAGAAATCTACTGACACTTTTACAGAATGACAAGTAAATACTAATGGTACAGACTAGTCTAAATACTGATTGAATGATTTTCGCCTTATATCAGAATGCGATTTTTTGTCAGATTGCGAATTTTGTAAAATTCATACTACATACAAGCTACCAGTATCTTCCACTAGGCTGCATTATATAAAAAATATACTTCAAATGCTACCATGCTAGCGAATTGTGTATTATAGTTGTTTAGGCAAATAACAGCAAAACAACTGTTGCACCATTCATCGATAGACGTGTAATCTACATAAAAAGTATAGTACCTAGTACACTAGCATTGCCAGATATCTACTTTTTACGTAATAAGCATGCTGGCTTCAATTTTTCATTGATATTATTTTTCTAGCCTTCACCTTCAAGCAGGGACAGCGGCTATCCAGATTGGGACCAAGAAAGATGGCGTCAACGCGATAGAACCGGCAGCATTTCAGGCTCCGATTTTGGAGGAAGAGTTCAAAGGAAGAACAGCAGTTTGTCATGTCCGCCACCAGATCGGGGAATGCCCCTAAGTACATCAGTTTTTGATTTGAACAACCCCATGATGCACCACCAACACCACAACTTCATGCCTATTCAACAGGTAATTTTTTCAAGACGTTACGCATATTGGTAACTTAAAATGCGACCTTGTTTCGGAGAAGAAGGGTAATTGAATATTTTGTGTGAATATTGGTTGATCTGTTTGGAAACTATTCATTCATAATATAAAGTGTGTAACTCAAATGGTTAAAAAACGGCGTCAAAAATTCCAGAAAGTTATTGGAAGGACATTTATACTTAATATTCCATTCCAGGCACAATCGATGGCGCAACTGAATTATCCGCTGCCCCCATACTATCCAGGGGGCTGGGTGAGCCCCCAATGCAGTTGCGATGACCCTAGAGGCAGCAACATGAGCCTCAACATGATCCCAGGACCTGGAGGCTATCCCGTTAATCCAATGTGGATGGGCACCTGGCATGGACCCCCACCTTCAATGTACCCTTACCCTATGCCCCCTATGGGACACCCACACCATGGGTCCAGAGCTGCTTCACCCACACACAGCGTCAAGTCCAGGAAGTCTACTTTAAGCAGAAAGAGCAGGAAGAAATACCGGGAGGTTGAAGATACTGATGATGAAGATGATAGAAGATCGTCGTTGAGTCAATCTGGCAGGAAATCTTTAGGAAGGTTCACCGTAAGGGAAAGGCCTTTGAGGGACGCTTCCTCCATGCCTAGAGAGCTTCCTAGAAGACACACCATTGACAGATTGGAAAGGGCTTCTATAGCTAGAAGCAGAGTGAGCTCAAATAGTGAGAGTGATGATGAAAGATCAGATGGAATGAAAGAAAGCATTGGCGATGTCATTAACGAAATTGAAGAATCGGTATCGGAGTACGAAAACAACAAATCACAAAATGTTGAGGTACCAAATGCTTCCTGGGAGTGTGAACATTGCACTTTTGTCAATGATGGAGGGACAAGAGTTTGCCAAGTTTGTTGCAAGACACCTACGGTGAATGCTAAGATTGTTAAAAGTAGAGCATCTCCAAAAAAGTCTAGAGGTAGTGGAGAAGAGATTGTTAATGAAATGGCTAAACTGAAGACAGCAGGTGAATCTAAACTTAAAGAGAAGCCGGAAATGGAGAGCTCGCGGAAAGGTAGGCCTAGTAGAAAGATCTCGTTTTGGCCAGGAACGAAGTTTGCGCCTTTCCGCACTAAAAACTAAGCCAACTAGTTTGTGTGTATTACTAAAACCGTGTTTGTGAATGTGTGTTGTGATTGTGTTATGTTGGAGTTTAAGACATACGTGTTGTTCCAGGAGGAGATACAGTGGATGGGAAGGACCCGGGAAGTGACGGAAAAGTGAGCAGTGAAGTGAGTGAAATGCGTAAAGTGAAGTCAGTGGAATGTGGGTCATCGCCTCCGGGAGATTTACAAAGTGCTAAGGAAGAAGTTAGTGAGGTGGACGGAGTTGAGAGAAAAGAGGAGAAGAGAATGGTGACTACATCGACAGGAACGTCGCCTCCTCCTCAAAGTATTTCAACTCAAGTGAGTCTTAGATTTGATATTCCTGATAATTATTCTTGCATGAAATGACGAAACGGTTTCATCTACGACCGGGCACAATACTGTAAATTATAGATAGGTTATCGGAATATTACTCCTATTATTCTATCACTACTATTATACTGTTTTTACTTCTACTGCAACTACTGTTTTTACCCAAAGACTTTATGTGGATAACAAATTCTATTTCACGAGCTACAGTCCTAACGGCTTGATAGATTTTGCCACATGTCATGTTGTTCGATTCGTCTTAGCAGTGTCAGTGCCACTATTAAAACTTGATAAAATCAAAATGGCTGATATAAGTCGAAAAGTCGCAAATCTGAAATTTCTATTTCACCGGTAATTGTTTGAATACTCGATCGATTTTTACTTTAATTTTTTTCATTTACTTCGGATTTTTGTATACTTTAAAAATGTACTGGTTACGTGAGTACATGGTTGCAACGCGCTTATATAATGAGTGACAAAAAAAGGTAAACACCTATGTTTATCCGATTTTGATAATTTTTGGCATATATGTTCAGTGTCCCTTACTAGTAAAATGATTAAATTTTCAGCTTGATTCGTCAACTACTCACTGCAGAAGCTTGTTCAAAAATGTGTTGATGATCCACGATTTTTTATACACTCATTGATACGCCTGGGCATTGTGCTGATAAGGTGGTCGGTATCCTGTTGGGGTATCTCATTCAAGGCTACTGCAACTTCGTGAGTAAGAGCTGCTAAAGCCTGTGGAGGGTGTTGCAAATTCAAGAGCCTACGACCTATTATGTCCCAAACATGTTCAATTGGAGATAGGTCGGGCGATCGTGGTGGCCAAGGCAAACGGTTGATGCGATGTTGATCCATGCGGTCTGGCATTGTCTAGCTGAAAAATCGGGTTTTGGATGTTGTTTAGGTATGAAATAATGCTTCCTGAATGTAGCGTTGGCCTGTCATATTGCCTCTGATGGAAATTAGTGGTGATCTGCTACCATAAGCAATAGCACCCCATACCATAACTCCCACGCTCTCTGTCAAATTGTTGGTCACATCTTCCACCACGTCGCCTTCTCACCCTTGCCTGACCGTCGTGAATTCCCAGACAGAAGCGGGATTCGTAACTAAAGACCACCTGACTCCATTCCTGGTCCCATAGAATTATTTATCTGCACCAGAGCAAACGGTTACGCCTATGTTCAGCTGTGAGAGGTAGCACCCAATGTGGGTGATAAGAAAAAGACTCTTAACCGGCGGTCTTGTCACTCTGTGGTCCCTCTGGGACATCCAAAACCCCTCGCTCGCTGTCCTCGGCCTTCCTGAGTTCACGGTCGTTCACACTGCAGTATACTGCGTAAGGATCTGTTGGTCCTCCTAGATACTCCTCTTATCGATCGAATTCTACGCACTCTAGGCATTTTGAGCAACCACAAAAAGGCTTCTCAATAAGCGAAATTTAACATTTAACTGACACCGTAAATGTACGAAAACCGAATGCTTCTTTATCAGCAAACAATACACGCAGCCACCACAAAAACGTGACCGTTTTCTCACTTGTTCTTCATGGCAAAGATAAATCAATATGTAAAAAATTCTTGAATTCTAATAAAGATACGTGGTGTTTACCTTTTTTGTCGCTCAGTATATATATATATATGAGAATATGATCAAGCGGAGAAAGGTATATAACAACAAGTAGGAAAATAATGGGCAAAATCCGCAAAAAGGAGGAAAGTGGATTCGAGCGGAAAATAGGATAATAGGTAACCCGAGCGATACGTATTTCTGCTGGTTCGCTTCATCAGGCCCGAAATGAATGCACATATGAAACTACAAAAGTAGATACATAGGCCCACACATCCGGATACGGGTGTAACCTGAGGAAACGAAGTTGGAGGAGAAAAAAAACGACACACGAAGTCCTCCTTTTTGCGGATTTTGCCCATTATTTTCCTACTTGTTGTTATATATATATATATATATACGAGTATAAAGAGAAAATGATGATATCATTTTTCTCTCTCTATATATATATATATATATATAACATGAGCAGTAGTCATTGCCATTGCCCACGACTAGTTGGGCAAAAATACAATTGATTGTTAATTGGGAAATTGGGAAATTGACAAACTTTTTTAGGCTTTGGTTAACTCTTTTGACGGTAATCTCTAGCTTTCGGCAATTCTCTATGGAGCCTTCATCAGGAGCTGGAAACACAATTATAATGATAGCAACCAATACGGGAAAGACGAGTAAGCTGTTTGACAATTTGCCAATTAACAATTAATTGTATTTTTGCCCAACTATATATATATAAACAGAAAATGATCATGCGGAGAAAGGTATATAACAAAAAATAGCAAAAAGGATGGGCAAAATCCGCAAAAAGAAGGAAAGAGGATTCGAGCAGAAAATAGGATAGGTAATCCGAGCAATACGTATTTCTGCTTGTTGGCTTCATCAAGCTCGAAATGAATGCACATATGCAACCACAAAAGTAGATACACATTCCCATACATCCAGATACGGGTGTAACCTGAGAAAACGAAAACAATATGACACCCGAAGTCCCCAACAAGAGCCAACCTACACATTGTATATATATATAAAGGTAAAATCCTGAAAATTTGACAAAGCGGTCATATAAAAGCAGCAAGTTACATATTCTAAAATATGTGCCAACCTTTGACTTTTAAAAAACAATTAAAAACAAAAATGTTAAAAGTTAAAAATACATAAGTTCTGAAATATTTAAATGCATAGATTTCACGTATTCAATCAACTTAAAATTTGAGTTATTTTCAGGGCCGAAAAATCCTCGTATGGATCCTGAGCCTTTTTGATTTTAGTCGGTCGTAGATAAAATGATGTATATATTTTGGGCGTGATCATCGTTTTATCGCTTGGCGTGTAATATCACGCCACGGAACATAACCGCCGAATTAACTATTTTTATTTATTTTAGACATACGAAGACAGTGTCGCTCCATCAGAAAAAATCGCTAAAAGTCCCAGAATGTCTAGAAAGAGCAACAGATTGTTCAGAAGGTCCCACTCGGTGTACACACCTATTTCTCAGAAGAGGGATTCTGAGTGGTCTCTTAATAGGTCTTCCAGTAGACATTCTTTCACTACTGATTCTCAGGTATTTTTATATAGTCTTACACATTTTTCCAACGGTTAAAAAATAAATAACAAATCACACCAAGACTTTTATACGGAAATCTCAGTATACTCTGGCAAAAATTTTTAATACGCCGAATCCGAATGCATAGTCCAAATCTGTCAAATGACTCTAGTTTCTGAGATATCCTAATCTAAAAGTGTAAAATGCCGAGTTTTGCCTATATTTGAAGTTAGGTAGTATATCGAATTAATTTTTTCAAAAACTATAAAGGTTCGTTTTTCTGAGTTTCACTATATTTGATACTCTACACGGTATGATTACGTGTGTGATTTGGATTAGATACAATAAAAATTAATAACAAGTTAATGTATTTTCATGAAATAAAACCTGCGAACTAAGAAAAACAACTCAAAATCCATAAAATATGTAAAACTTACCTAAACCACAAGCTCACAACCCACCTTTCCCTATCAAGGGCAAGTTTATAACGTTCTTAAGTTCGATTGTGAATTTTTTTAAAATAAGAAAATACTTTCTTCTGATACAAGATGAACCAATCCAGTTGAAAATATTCAAAACTTACTCATACCGCAAGCCACCAATTTACCCTACAGGAAGCAACGCTATTCGTAAGGGCAAGGTTTATACAGGATGGCCAATATATAACTGACTGATTTAAATTGCTCGTCATTTTTGATACACCCATTTGAGTAGGGTATTTAAAACACATGTGTCCAATTCATCATGGAGCGATACACGATCTCATAACGTGACAGTATTTTTTTTATACTCCAACTACCACGAAGCCCTAAGGAATAATCACCCATTGGGAACCGTGGGGCTATAGGGGGATACATGGGAAAGGGGGAACGCCACACGGACTCTGGCGAGGGAACAGGTGTGCATGCAACATGCACACATTCTGGCTCCGCCTACGAGAACCGCCGGGTGGTACCTCCGCGTTCGACAGTCAGAGACCGTCTACCACCTACGGACAATCACAACATCCATAGCCAAGAGAAAATTTTCTCCTGGGACGGGACTCGAACCCGCACAGCGCACGGCGACTGATCAGGATACCGAAGAGTCTACTACTGCGGCCACCGCTGCTGCCTAAACGGTGCTGGCAACGATTCGGAAGCTACGACAATATTTCGGTCGAAATAATGTGCCCAGTATCAACACTATTCGTCAGTTGGTGCGGAAATTTGAACAGACAGGTGAAGTTTAAGACTTTCCAAGGTTTTGACTGTTCGTACTCCGGAAAATATCGAGACAGTTCGTGAAAGTGTAGTTTAGCGCCCTGAGACCTCGACCACACATCGTTCTCAAGAACTGGGTATTCGTCGCACATCATTATGCACTATTTTAAGAAAAGACTTGCATTTGCTGCCAACAAAATTCATTTAACCCAAGAACTACAGCCTAGTGACCATGAAAGTCGCCGATAATAGTCATGCAATATTGCAGCTTAATACCCAAACTAACGATTTTTACCGACTACTGATAATGAGCGATGAAGCCCACTTCGATATGAACGGATTTGTATATAAGCAGAATTGTCGTATCTGGGCATTAGAGAACCGTCGTGTCATCCATCAACGACCAAAACTTTCAAAGTTTCAATAGAAGATTAAGATGAAAAAAATGGACGCATTTTATTTCATTTCACAAATATTCAAGGTACATATTTCAACTTTTAGATTAGGGCATCTCAGAAACTAGAGCCAATTGAAATATTTGAACCACGGATTCGGATTCAGCCCATCAATATTCTGGTTTATGGGTGAAAGGGTCGGCTTATTTTTGTCGGTCTGTATTATCCCAATAACGTCGATTTTAAAGATTGGAATGCCTGTCTTAAAAAATAAAAGTGATGTGTTTTGGTTTAATTTTTCAGTGATAAAAATGTATTTGTGCAAACCATTATAACTTGAGCGATATGGTCTGAGATTAAAAAATGAATTGGTAGACAAAGCTCTGAGCACTGACCTGTAAATCAATTGCTAGAGACCCTATTTCATAGAAATATGGTTCTGCACTTAAAGGATCATTATAGGGATTAAAATCCTTACCCTATGGCAACAACTCTGACATTTACTGTTACAAATTTGTGTGAGCGGTTATGTACTGATTTGTTATTCGAAACGTGATTTTTATGTGTGTGCAGCCACGGAATTGATGGTATGATTTGTCTAACTTGTAGTAGTAACTAGTAACGCCACATCTCACTATTAGTCTAATCATATTAGCAAATTTCCCCGAAAGATTGGAAAGTCTGGTTTTATTGGTGCAAATTCTTCAAGGGGGTATTTAAAACATGGTCGCATAAAATGGATACACCAATTTTTGTGGGAAAACTTTTTATTTGACAACAAAGAATGAGAAAACGTGTTTTTTGGGATTTAATCGCAAGTGTTAACAGGAACGAGAAAACTTTTCATAAAAGATTTTTAAGTATTTATGAGACCACACGTCAAAGGTTCGGCTATTAGCAAAAATGTTATGGCCGAAAAACGAGGCAAATTGCAGGTTTTGGCACTTGTTGGTAATGCGACGATAATTTCATGCAACTACTTGAAATTCTTCAAATCCGTAGAAATCATACTTCTAAATAACAACAACAAAAAAGTGTCAAGTAGGTTTTTGAGAATTGATAATTATTGTTTATTCCAAAATACCTGTTTTCGGCCCATCACTTATTGAGCAATATACAGGGTTCGTTCAAAGAGCATTTGATAGCAAAATACACCTGTTTACCTTGCCAAACCATTCCGAAAGATAAATGTTATACTAAGTGACATATAAATCCGAACACCCAGTTTAAATGGTTTTATTTTAATAAAATTTTGTATAAGTACTTCCAAAATACCTGTTTTCGGCCCATCACTTATTGAGCAATATACAGGGTTCGTTCAAAGAGCATTTGATAGCAAAATACACCTGTTTACCTTGCCAAACCATTCCGAAAGATAAATGTTATACTAAGTGACATATAAATCCGAACACCCAGTTTAAATGGTTTTATTTTAATAAAATTTTGTATAAGTACTTAATGAAGCATAATAAGTAAATGATAAAAATTTCAAAATGATTGCACTGCTTTGACCTTTAATAATGTGTGGATGCACCCTGATGTGCTACGCATTCTCCAACGCGCCTAGGCATGCTTCTGATCAGGTGGTCAATGTCCTCCTGTGGTATCTCATTCCAGGCAACCACCAACTCCTCTCGAAGTGCTTATAGAGTCTGAGGAGGACGTTGCAAATTGAGCAATCTCCTACCCATCATATCCCACACGTGCTCAATTGGGGATAAGTCGGGAGATCTTGGTGGCCATGATAACAATGTGACATCATTATGTTGAAAGAAGTCTATTGTGACTCTTGCAACATGTGGCCGGGCATTATCTTGTTGGAAAGTTGGATCTGCCAGGGTGTCAAGATAGGGTAAAAGATGGGGTTCTAGAACTTCGTGGATATAACGCTGCGCGTTCATGTTACCTCTGATGAAGATTAAAGGTGACCTGGAACCATAAGCTATAGCACCCCAAACCATAACTCCAACAGTGTGATGAACATGTCTTTCAACAAAAAACTGTGGATTCCTCCTTTCACCACGTCGCCTTCTAACCCTTACACCGACGTAATCGCCTTGAGTGGTGCAGACAACGGTCACTCTGGGATCAGGAATGGAACAGTATTGTCTTTAGTGACGAGTCTCGATTTTGTTTAGGCATGCACGATGGTCGTGTCAGGGTTAGGAGGCGACGTGGTGAAAGGAGGAATCCACAGTTTTTTGTTGAAAGACATGTTCATCACACTGTTGGAGTTATGGTCAAGTCATCGTTGGTTGTCAGAGCGGTCCGTGGGACCTTAGCTCTTGAGTCACAGTGTCAGTTTGTAAGTCTGTCAGGTCTGGTAACCCAGAAACCAGACAATTTTAAGGAAAAAAGGGGAAGGAAAGGAGAGAAGGAAGAACGAGAGCAAAGGGGAAGAAGAGAATCTTTTAGGATATGCAGCGTTTAGGCATTGTTAAAATCGCTTCACAGATTTTGATATGGTCTAAAAATATTTGATTTTTTCTAAAGATTGTGTAAAAATGCTCAAATTTTGGTTGTTCTAAGTTCACGAGTTAATTTTGATTACAGTGCGAGCCGCGGCCTTTTGTGCTTGCGAACTTGCTCGACTGTGTAGTCCACTGAATCACGCAACAGAGGGTTGCTGTGCGATTCCGCTAGGCTATAGCGCCGCTGCGCCTGTTGCTTAATGTAGTCCTTTAGGTAAGGGACATCGAGGTCTCTATGTAGAGTTTCGTTAGAGACATACCATGGGGCATCAGCAATAGTGCGCAACGTCCTGCTTTGCAGAACCTGCAGACTTCGCATGTGTGTTTTAGCAATAAAACACCAAGCCGCACATGCGTATGTCATTGCTGGTCTTATGACCACCTTATAGAGTCGAATCTTGTTAATCAAACTTAATTTTGACCGTTTACATAATAATGGGTAAAGCTGCCGAAACGTAATTTGGAATTTAGTTTTTAGCGCTTCCATATGGTTCCGCCAAGTCATCCCTTTGTCCAGAATGACACCGAGATACTTAGCGGAGGATTCCCATGGTATACGAAGTCCATTCATTGAAACTTCAGACGGAACGCCGCGACGTCTTTTTGTACAGTAGATTGCCTGCGTTTTCGAATGGTTTATTTTAATTAGCCACCGATCCGCCCAATCTAATACTTCTTCCACCGCACTTTGCAGCCTGTCATGGACTAGGTCACCAGACCACGACTGAGCCACCAATGCAGTATCGTCAGCATAGAGATAGACTTCACAGTTGCTGGGACTAGGGACGTCATGGATGTACAGTGAGTAAAGGATAGGTCCAAGGACCGAACCCTGAGGGACGCCGGCTGTAATCAGCCGTGTTGTCGACAGCACATTGTCAATTTTGATCCGAAATTTCCTACCTTCAAGGAAGGATTTCAGTAGTTTTAGAAGCCAAAAAGGGAAGCCC